TTTTCCAAATTCTAATGAATTAAATTTGAAGATTTTTTTCCCCCTTTTTTCCCTAGGAGTATAGATTTTGGTTGACAAATGAATAATAATAAAATGATAAAACCATTAAAAAAAAAAGTTATTTCGATTAGTTGCAACTTTTGACCGTTGGGATCGATGGATTTTGAGGGGGCTTGAAGATATGAAGTCATGATCCTTTCAACTCAATTTGGAGCCAAGAGTATGAGAGTATGTATTGACGATCTTTGTTTCTTTAATGTGGACACGTTGAAACTACATTGGAATTGTAGGTTTGCATTTTCTGCATTTAGGAAAGGTCAAATTCCTGTTTGTTTTTGTAACTACATAACACAGTTAAAGTGAACATAAGTTAAACCTTGTTTATTAACGATTTACTTTATCGCTTGTCCAATTTTTTCACCAGCTAGTTTTACCTCAATCTCTTGTGTCTTCCCTCTGGATCTATTGACGGTTCCTGTAACGCGATAGATAGTACTCCCTTTGTCCCATAATTATTGTCCACTTTACTCAAAAAATGTTGTCCTAAAATTATTGTCCAATTTGACTTTTTATGGATTAAGTTACATATTTGTCTTTAGTAAAAAACATTATCCATAAAATCTTAGTGGTTAAACAATTACTTATGTAGCGGTATATCCGGTTATTTAAGGTAAAATATAGTTAAGTTTGACCAAAAATAAAATTTTTTATTTTAGTAAAACTGGACAATAATTATGGAAAAAAAGAAAGAAGTATTCTTAAGTAATAATTATGGGACAGAGCGAGTACTTTTTTAGTATTTAACCAGTGATGTTTTACTTATGTGTACCTTAACCTTTTCCAATTTACTTTCCATTTTTGGCAACAAAAAACTTCCTAAGGTTTCTATTACTAGTAATGTTGTTGCTGTGGAAGCGCCACTTTTACTAACCAGCAATAGAAAGTCAACCGAAAAAAAAAACAATACAAAATTGAAATATCATCAAACTTCATGTTTGAAATGGAAGAAGATTTTCTTACTTAAGAATACTTCTTTCTTTTTTCCCATAATTATTGTCCAGTTTTACTAAAATGAAAGATTTTATTTTTGGTCAAACTTAACTATATTTTACCTTAAACAACCGGATATACCCTTACATAAGTAATTATTTAACCGCTAAGATTTATGGATAATATTTTTTACTAAGGACAAATGTGTAACTTGATCCATAAAAAGTCAAATTGGACAATAATTTTGGGACAAAATTTTTTGGACAAAATAGACAATAATTATGGGACAGAGGGAGTATAAGACATAAATTTAAATTGATCTTAGTAAGGACAAGATGGAGTTTTTTTTTAACCCAAAAAAAAAAGGAATATTTAGTTGTCCATATGTGTCTATGGAATATAAGAATAAAAATGAAAGGCAACATTTAATACACGGAAACATATTCACTATTACTACCATCAATGCTTTTGGAAATTCTAAAAATATTTATTACCCATATTAATAGTATCTTTAATTTTTAATTTTTATCAAAAATAATTGTATTTTTTGTGTCAGAACAGATTTATTGATTTTCCCTAGTTAGATACTAAGGCTTTGTTTGTTTCATTTTTTATTGGTTATTTCAAATTAATAGATTAATAACTGTCTCATCCTAACATAATTTTTTATATTTCTAACACACATTTTTACATTCCTAACACAAAAGACACCTAAAAACACACATTAAAAAAACCAAATAAACATACCTTTAGATTTATGGAGGTACAACTGTGAAGGAGAGTTGTAAGTAACAGTTATAGCAGTTGTACCTCTTTCAAATAATGGAAACCATTTCGATTGATGAGAAAAAAAAAAAGAAAAAAAAAAAGAAAAAGAAACCCTTCCAAATAATGGAAGCCATGTTGACAAAAGAGCCTACGAAATGTGCCTCTTTCTCCTCCAACTTTTTGGCCCCACCAAAGGGCAAAAGCCCATTTTGGACCGGCGTTTATGAGGAAGGTTTTGGTTGGCACTCCAATGCATTCTTTCCAAGCCTACCGGCAACTTACCGCTGACAAAAGAGATTGCCGATGTTTTGCACGTTTGACCCTTTCACATAATTTATAGTGTCAATTTGGTCCTTTATATTTACGACCCCATACAGTGAGTGTCCATTCATCCCCCTAATGGGTTTCTTATTTTTCAATAATAATCCAATTATCGCAAACTACGTATCTATCTATCTATCTATCTATCTATATACTATACTAAGGCAAAAATCAGAGAGAGAAAACTAAAGGCATGGAGCACATGGCACCTAGGATTTAATCCTATGTGGCATTTTCTTAATTTCTTAGACTTAAAAATGCACAAAACAAAATAATAAAACCAAAAAAAAGCAACTAAAATAATTTTAAAAATATAATAATAATAAAAACCGAATCCTTATTTTCATGAACCAAATCCTAACACAGAGATTGATTGGAGAGAGTACCAAATCCTAACAAATTTTAGAGAAATCTGCATAATTCTTGTCACCAGTGTATTTAAAATGTCATTTTAAAAAAAATAAATTCCTGTAAACCCAGAGGTAATCATGTTTAAAACTGAAATCATTACATATTTTATAAAAATACAAAATTTATGTAAAAATGTCTAAATGTGTATGCTCTAACACCTAGTAATTTTTTAATGACATGGTTCGGTTATTAAATCTATGACAACCACTACTTCTAGGTAGATAGAAATTGTGATTCAATTAATATCTTCTCATCGGTGACTAATAAATCGTCAATCACCGCACCAAATATCTTCTCTTAAAAGAGATTGTACATGAATTCTTTAAATCTACTAGGAGTTTAAGTTCAAGAAAAATATCATAATATTTTATGTCGCAATAAAAAATAAAAATCCATATTTGTTTTACATTTTGTATTGTACTTTTGAGATAATAATATTAAAATAGCACAAAAATCAATATTTAATGTGTCCTAGTAAATCTTGTAAAGAATAATGGTTTTCATACTAAACAATTTGGTGAGATGAAGTAGTAATATATTTATAACAACAATCTACTGGCCACCATAATTACTGCCTTACTGCGGCTATCTTCCATAACCATAACAAGATACGGACCATAATTACTGCCGCTATCTTCACTAAGCTCATCGAATTCTTTTTTTTTTTTTTCCGGGGAAATAGATAAATGGTTGACTTAATTATATGTGTGTATATATATATATATATATTGTATTTATGACATTTAATCGTCGAGGTTGTCTAGTCTCCTTAATGATTAAAATAAAAATTAAGTTTCACTTTCCAAATTGTTGCACGTAGACGCAGACGATACCGTTTAATATTCCCCCCAGAGAAAAAATAAAGATTCTGCCACGAAACCAGAAGATAAGTTAGCACATTAGGTAAAGTGGAATAGGAGTTTCAAATTTTTACTAGTCCAATCTCCACTGTCGCAATTTCATCATATGGGCTACTATGAATTTTCTTTTATATTAAAAAAAATAAAAAGCAATACAACGAAAAAGTATTAACATCATTAATAAGTTTTCGCCAATTTAAAAAACGTAACAAGAACATAAACATATATTTATGTTTAGTTCGTTTTCTCAGTGTGTATTTTTAAGTATTTAATGTAAAACTTGGAACTATTGTACATAAGTTTCACTCGATTTATGCATCCTGATAATATTGTAAGGCATGATAAAGCGATGTATCTCTTAACTGAGTGATAGATTGTGATGTATTTTCACTAACCAAAATAGATGTAAAAGAATGAGAATCTTAATTTTATGTCTTTTTTTTTGTAGTGGAAAAAAATGGAAGAGTCAAAATCCCAAATTCCTCCCTATAATTTATTTTGTGGTTTGTTTTTTGAAAAGCCAATATATTTTGTGGTTTTGGGAAAAGAATACTTGGAAGATTAGATGAAGAGAGTTGAGAAGAATAAAATAATATAGGGAAGGAGGTGGGAAGAGACAGACACAGATGGAGAAGGGCAAGATAACATGGACATGCCTCTTCTCCCTCTCTCTCTCTCTACAAGTGAGTGAGAGAGACACATTTTAGTGTGGGAAGAAAAAAAAGGGCCACTTGGGGAAGTTTGCAAATTGAGAGATTATTTGTGATAGCAACAACAATTTAATCATCTCTCAGTAACTAAAATTTTCTGGTATATTACACACGCGCTGTCCAAAATTAATATCGTCTAGTCTGAAATCAAATACGACACACGAATATTGTAAGACAGAATTTTACACACAAGTGTTTTTTAACCGCTGATATTTTTATTTGAATTCGTATTTTAATCATTTTTAGTTCAATACCTTCACCGCTTAAACCAAATTGTTATTTTTTCTTTTTTTTAAAAAAAACGCAAATGAAATGGTTAGCTCAATAACTCCAATTTGCGTAGTCCCTTTTGGTCAATTTTATCTTTTCTTCATTAAGGAGTTTTATTTTGTGTTGACTACTCCCTTAAAAAATTGGTATAAAAACCCCTCCGCCTCCCTCCTCCTCCTCTTCACTTCCTCTTTCTCTCTCATTTCCAACACTGAACAGAGAGAAAACCCTTTCTCTCTCTTCTTCCTTTTTTTTTTTTTTGCCATTTCTTTTTTCTTCTATTGTAATCAAAGAGGTAAAAAACCACCCGTTTTTGGTTCTGTTTCTGTTTCTATTCTGTTTCTGTTCTCTGATTTCTGTTTCTCTGTTTTCTGTCTCCCAAACTTTTTTTTCCCACTCATTTCGTTGTGAGTAGTTTTCTAGGGGATTGTAATTACTCTCATTCAATGAACCGATTTTCATTTATTTAGTAATCTAAAGGAGAAAAGGGGGAAAAAAAAAACTGCAGACACTAATAATTTTACGCAGACACACACACTCTCTCTCTCCATTCAAGTTCTCTTATCTTTCTTTTTGGTGCTTTGGCTCATCTATAAATATATATTGATACAGGGGAGAATTGGCTGCAGTGAGGAAGCTTTTGAGTTTGTGAGGAACCCAACTCGTCATCATGGGGGGTGACAAAGCTCTCAGTCTTGAAGAGATTAAAAATGAGACTGTTGATTTGGTAACAAACTCCTCCTCCTCCTCTCTGTAGTAGGTTTCGTAGCTAATTGAATTTTTTTGATATGAACAGTTGATGTTGGCTTGTGATCTTCTGCTCACTCCATGAAATCGGAGATCTGTCGAACTAATTTCCTTTTTTTTTCTCGAAACCCTTTTCAGTATTACCCCCATTTCCCCCCTTAATTGAATCGTTGTTGTATCTATTTATGATTGAATTTTAACTGATGATGATATGTGTTTGATCTTTTTTCTGTTTTTGCTCTGTTCTATTGGTTAATTTGGTTAGTTCTGCTGGCAACTTGAACGTATTTGCTTTTTTTCTTCTCTTCTTCTTCTTACTCCATCATCGTCCAGAGGAATCTAATCTGATGCTTTGCTTCCTATAGATTATAGGTGCCCACTGAAAAGAAAGAAAACCCACCACTTTACAAGTTGTTTCCGAACCAAATTCCATCCAATTAGACAAGTTCTTTTTCTCCTCTTTTTTTTTTTTGTCCTCAGGCCTAACTTTCAATCCCAATCCCTTGTATTTTATTTTGTTCCTTTTCACAGCTTCTTTTTTTTGTAGTTGTTTATCTTTGACACGGCTCAAATTCATGGGAGGAATCTCTCTTTTTTCTTGTTTGTGGTTTACGCCATAGTTACTGATTCATTAAGTTACCTTTTTATGCATGGAAAATCAGATGAACTCGATTTTTGAGAATATAATCAGGAATAATTATTATGTTTTTATTGTAATTAATTGCTTCCTTCTTTTTGATTAATGATTTTTCCCCATCTGGGATCTCGGCGCAGCTCATGTTTTTTATGACGGAAGTGTGTAATTCAACGGGCAAATCATATGAATCTGTATTTAATATAATTTGGTAGTATGATTGATTTATGGAAATTAATTTAGGCCATGTTTGACAGGCACGATCTGTTCTGATAGTTGGTCAAATCTTTTGTTTATTTATAATTTCTAAAAATGTAATTCAAGACCAAAAAAAAGTAGGCCCTTGGCCGTTCTTATTCTGATTTCTTTATTTTCCTCTCTTTTTTTTTCAATTTTTAGAAAAGTGGAAAAACAGAATACTGAACTGAATTCACAAGTGTCGTTGTTTTCTTGCTTCATCCACTCTACTTTTTTGGTCGTACAAGCTGTGTGTACTGAAATTATAGTTAGCATCCAAATTAGCCCGTTTCAGCAATTGACGAAAAAACGGTCGCTTTTACTTGACCAAACTTTTGCTGTGTTTACTTATGGCAAAGTGTTATAAATATGATCGAAAAACCTTACGGATATGAATTGCATTTCTCTGTTTTGTAAGTCCTAATCTCATAATGTTTTGACATTTCTACAGGGATGAAAAATATCTCCATACGACCAACCTAATGGTAGTAGACTACTAGTAATAGTGCACTAGTGGGCATGTTCTTCTGTCCCTAGTAGTGTGTGACTGTGTGTGATTGAGGACCCAAAAGAGTATAAACAAAAGCTAATTTATGAAATTTATGACTAATCAGGCTCTCAACCTTTATGACACCTAACCCAATTACATTGAAAAACTCACTCTAAAAGTAGATTTCTTCTTCCTTTTTTTTTTTTTTTGTCAGTTTTTGGTGTATTTTTATTTCCCTGGTCTTGTTTTATTGTGGTAGTAGTACAAAGTACTTTTTCCGTGGTACTTTCACAAAAAAATGGGTTTGGTTTTGGATTTTTTCATCCAGGTCCCTGCCTTTAACGGTTTTTTTCTGACTTTTAACACATTTTTTTTTATATACTACAATATACATAAAAAGGAGCACTGTGCTGATTACTGCTGACACGCACCGCTGTCATTAAGTCCTGATTAAATTTACCGCTGAGGAATCTGTGAAAAAAATGTTTACAAATCTTACCCCGTGAATTTTCCCAATCTTTCAAAGATACCCTTTGGGTGATTGGGTCCCATCATGTGTGAGAAAATCGTGAGTTTTTCTCTTTTTTCTTCTTTTCTTTTTGTGGAAGCGCGTGAGTTACACGATAAAGGGGAGTGGGGCAGGGTGGGCGGCAGTGGGGGGATTGCTACTGTTCTTTGTGAAAAGGAATCTGAGATTGGGGTGGCTGTGATTGGTGGGATATCCAAGGCCATTCTTTTTTTATTGTATTTATTTTTTTTGGAAAAGATTATTTGAGGAATAAATTCTTTTTATATTTTGTTTGCTGGGTCCATTTATAGTGGAAAGTCAACTTGGATGACACGCTCTTCCATATGGAAAAAAGTGCATTCTTCATATCTTAGCCATTCTTCATGTGAGTACGGCCCATTATTAAAAGTGATCCACTATCACATTAAAAAAAAGTAATAATGATATTTTTAAAATTTATTTACCGATAAAAATAATAATAAATATTTAATCGGTGACAAAAAATTGGTAGTAGTAGTATTCATTCATGGTTAGATTCTAAGGTGATGGACCAAAGCAATCCATACTCTTTACTGAACCTTACATTGTTAAAGGACAATACTAAAATGAAAACCATATTTGATATTCAAGATCATGCATGCATAATTTTGATAGCTACCATAATATTGTGAAAGTCTTGTTTTGTTATGATGACATGAAAGATGGATTTTGTTAATTCTGAATGTTGTTAAACCAAGTGTGCCTGACTCATTTTGTGCGGTCTCGGTTATCCTCTTTCCAAATTGCAGGAAAAGATTCCCATTGAAGAAGTGTTTGAGCAGCTGAAATGTACCAGGGAAGGTTTGTCTTCAGAGGAAGGGGCCAGCAGGTTGCAAATTTTTGGCCCCAACAAATTGGAAGAGAAAAAGGTAACTGCAGTTTCTTTGGTTAATCATAACTAGCTGTGTTTGTTGAGTGTTTGTTTAGCAGTAGCTTTGATTGATTTACTGCATCTTGATTGTGTTCCCCTCATTCGTCTTTCAGGAAAGCAAAATTCTCAAGTTCCTTGGATTTATGTGGAATCCACTCTCATGGGTCATGGAAGCTGCAGCAATCATGGCTATTGCCCTCGCTAATGGTGGTGGACAGAAACCTGATTGGCAAGATTTCGTTGGTATTGTCTGCTTGCTCGTGATCAACTCTACTATTAGTTTTATTGAGGAGAACAATGCTGGAAACGCCGCTGCAGCTCTTATGGCTGGTCTCGCTCCAAAAACCAAGGTAGTACGAGCACCGTTATTTACCGATACTAAAGAACATACTGCATTGTTGTTTGTGTTGGAAAGTAGCTGTCCGCGCATGGGACCTTATGCATATTTGTGCTTGATGACTAGGTGCTTCGAGATGGCCGATGGAGTGAACAGGAAGCAGCTATTTTGGTTCCTGGTGATATTGTAAGCATAAAATTGGGAGACATCATTCCTGCTGATGCCCGTCTTCTTGAAGGTGATCCGTTAAAGGTTGACCAATCTGCCTTGACTGGAGAATCTCTTCCTGTCACCAAGAATCCAGGAGACGAAGTTTTCTCTGGTTCAACATGCAAACAAGGTGAAATTGAAGCTGTCGTAATTGCCACTGGTGTTCATACATTCTTTGGGAAAGCAGCACATCTTGTTGACAGTACCAACCAGGTTGGTCATTTCCAGAAGGTGCTGACTGCCATCGGTAACTTCTGCATCTGCTCCATTGCATTGGGTATGTTGATTGAGATAATCGTCATGTACCCGATCCAGCACAGACCCTACAGAAAAGGAATTGACAATCTCCTTGTGCTCTTGATTGGTGGTATTCCCATTGCTATGCCCACTGTCTTGTCTGTGACTATGGCCATTGGATCACACAGGCTATCTCAGCAGGGTGCCATCACAAAGAGAATGACTGCCATTGAAGAAATGGCTGGCATGGACGTGCTCTGTAGTGATAAGACTGGCACTTTGACTTTGAACAAGCTCAGTGTTGACAGAAACTTGGTCGAAGTGTTTGCAAAAGGAGTTGATAAAGAGCATGTTTTGCTTCTAGCTGCAAGGGCTTCCAGAGTTGAAAACCAGGATGCCATTGATGCTGCCATCGTGGGGATGCTTGCTGATCCAAAGGAGGTATGTTGTTTTCCCCTTATCATTCATTTCTCTTACTGATTCCCAACTCCCCACAAAAACCCCCACCCCCCTCAGGTGAAGGTATTCATTTTCAATTTTCTGGTTTTAGGCACGAGCTGGTATAAGAGAGGTCCACTTCTTGCCATTCAATCCAGTCGACAAGAGGACTGCTTTGACTTATATTGATAATGATGGAAACTGGCACAGGGCTAGCAAGGGAGCCCCTGAGCAGGTTCTAGTCAATATTTCTTTTAGCCTCCTTCATGATTATATAATAAGCATGGTTTAATACATATTCTCAATTCAAATTTTTCTTATCTTGTTTCTAGATTCTTGCTCTTTGCAATGCAAGCGAAGATATGAAGAAAAAGGTTCACTCAATTATTGATAAATATGCTGATCGTGGGCTGCGGTCGTTAGCTGTTGCAAGACAGGTATGCAGCTGCAAAATAAACTACTGATTTAACGGATAATGGCACTGTAAATATTTCTCTTATTTTTATTAATTTACTGTTTCACATATTTATTTTCTCTGATTATTATCGACAGGAAGTGCCCGCAAAATCAAAAGACAGTCCTGGGGGTCCATGGCAGTTTGTTGGGTTGTTACCACTTTTTGATCCTCCAAGACATGACAGTGCTGAGACTATTCGCAGGGCCCTCAACCTTGGTGTTAATGTTAAGATGATTACAGGTAATCACTGATTCAAATTCCTTTTCAAGCTGAGAGTCATTTCATCATGTCTTTGTTTTATCTTATTTTTCTTTATTTAATTGAACTTGGCAATATACAGGTGATCAACTTGCAATTGGAAAGGAGACTGGACGTAGGCTTGGAATGGGAACAAACATGTATCCTTCAGCTTCCTTATTGGGGCAACACAAGGATGAGTCAATTGCTGGCCTTCCTGTTGAAGAGTTAATTGAGAAAGCTGATGGTTTTGCTGGAGTGTTTCCAGGTATGAGGAATTTTTCTTCTGCTTGTGTGTCATGCTCTAGAGGTATACACTACAGGATGCAAGTTAAGTATATTTGGAAATAAGTTGTGCTTTTTAATGTCTACAGAGCACAAGTATGAAATAGTGAAGAAGTTACAAGAGAGGAAGCACATTGTTGGAATGACTGGTGATGGTGTAAATGATGCCCCTGCACTGAAGAAGGCAGATATCGGTATTGCAGTTGCAGATGCTACAGATGCTGCCAGAAGTGCATCAGATATTGTTCTTACTGAACCTGGTCTAAGTGTTATTATCAGTGCTGTTTTGACTAGCAGAGCTATTTTCCAGAGGATGAAGAACTATACAGTAAGTTCCTTGTTTGTCGAAACATGCCAAACTTCTTTGGTTGATAGCTTCCTAACTCCCACACCTATTATCTGTTGCAGATATATGCAGTATCCATTACCATTCGTATTGTGGTAAGTGAACTCAAAAGTTTACACCCTAAGATTGTATCTTTGTGATCAGCATGATCAATTGATTATACTGTTCATTTTGTCTGAACTTCTATTGCAGTTTGGATTCATGTTTATTGCTTTGATATGGAAGTTCGATTTCTCTCCCTTCATGGTTCTGATTATTGCCATCTTGAATGATGGTAAGATTTCTGCATGTTAACCGAAAGTAATGAGGTTGAGGTTTTCTTTTACTGGTTACGTTTCTTTTGATTAATGGATATGTTTCTTCAACCAGGAACAATTATGACAATTTCAAAGGACAGAGTGAAGCCATCACCGGTCCCTGACAGCTGGAAACTAAAAGAAATTTTCGCTACTGGAATAGTGCTTGGTGGTTATCTAGCATTGATGACTGTCATATTCTTCTGGGCCATGAGAGAGACTCATTTCTTCCCAGTATGGATGATTTATCTTTTCTTTCGACTTCTCTTTTTATGAGTTATTAAACTTTTGTTGGTTAAACATTTTCTTTTTGTTTGAATTTTCTGTGATGATTCAGGATAAATTTGGGGTCAGACATATTGGTGACAGTGAGCATGAAATGATGGCTGCTCTTTACCTACAAGTGAGTATTGTTAGCCAGGCTCTGATTTTTGTTACTCGATCACGAAGCTGGTCCTTTGTGGAACGCCCCGGGCTACTGTTGGTGACTGCTTTCATCATTGCTCAGCTGGTAAGACTTCTTGCCTTCTGCAATTCCACTTCCTGTATAAAGTGTTCATGGATTTATCATGGTGTATTGTACTTCTTAATTAAATCCTCTTGGTTGTTCTCTGGTTACTTTGTATTACCAAGGGAATATTGAGGTTTCAAGGTAGAATATAACTTTTCAGATTGTTTTGGCAAAGAAATTAGATTCTGAATTTACCTTGATATCTCTTTATGCTCAATGCCATTTTATGAACTGAAATAAGCACCATTCATGTATGTGAATACTGTTTCATTATCTGTACAACATATGAATATAAGACAAAATAACTGAGATGACGAATTGAATCTGACAACTCCTATGCACGCTCATTGTTGCATCTTGTCGCTGTTGAGCTAGTAGTGATACTTGTTGGAATCTTTGGACTTGCAATTTATTTCTTTCTTTCAAGCAGTATGTTGTACCGTTTGATATCCTTACTCACTGAATGTCATCCTTGATATTTAGGTTGCCACTCTAATTGCTGTTTATGCCAACTGGAGCTTTGCAAGAATCAAAGGATGTGGTTGGGGATGGGCTGGAGTTATCTGGCTTTACAGTGTAGTGTTCTATATTCCACTTGACTTCCTCAAGTTCTTCATTCGATATGTATTAAGTGGAAAGGCTTGGAACAACTTGCTTGAAAACAAGGTTTGTGTTCATCAACTCGTTAAAGAATAGGAGCTTTCCTTTTCGCCCTTTATATTCTTCGTTCAATCTTTTGATCAATTTTGTGCTTCTTCGCAAAATAGACTGCTTTCACCACCAAGAAGGATTACGGGAAAGAGGAGAGGGAAGCTCAATGGGCTGTTGCTCAGAGAACTTTACATGGACTTCAACCACCCGAAGCCACAAACATTTTTGAGGAAAAGAGCAGCTACAGAGAGCTTTCTGAAATCGCAGAACAAGCTAAAAGGAGAGCTGAGATGGCCAGGTAGGCAACTGTTCTGTCTTGACACAACTACAGCCTGAAAATTATGTTACATAGGAATCTGACCTTAAAATTTTTTTTCTCTTTGTCTTGTGTAGGCTTCGTGAACTGCACACGCTCAAGGGTCATGTCGAGTCGGTGGTGAAGCTGAAAGGTCTGGATATCGAAACCATCCAGCAGCATTACACTGTTTGAAGAAACTATAATTTTCATGAAGAGAACCAGATGATGGCGAAACAAATACTATTCATAGATCGCAGAAGTGGCCATAAAAACTTATAATTTGGTGTACGAGGGAAGCAAACCATGTCTCAGAGCTCCCTTTTCTTGTCTTCTTCGTGTGGTTATAATTTTAGAACTGCCCACAAAGTTAGGGTTCTGCATAGGTTTTCTTGATCTCATAGAGAAAGAAGTAACATCTTCTGTAACACATCCTTTTTCCTCTTCTTTCTACTTGGACTCCCTCTTACCCACAGTTCGCTAGCATGCATTTTTACCTTTCTTCTTTCGCTTCATCTGCGTTAGAAACTCTGGATGCGATACTGAATAATGTAACTTACTGAAAACCTTCCAATTTTCAACTTAAGAGATGCCGTTGTCAATGAAAATAGTCTCTGTTTTGTCACGTTGGATGGATCATTCATTTTCTTCCCCGCAATGTTTTATATATATATATATATATATATATATATATATATATATATATTTTCTCATTGTCCTTCTCATCTTTGCAAGTAAATATTGGTTTGGTTACAGATATGGGATCTCAGTATTTCTCCCATTTGTAGATCTTACAATCAGTAATAATGAGTTTTGTCATCAATAGATTTCCTAAACAATCTTGCAACGAAGTTAGCTACTCAAATTACCAGTAAAGTAATCATTTTTCACTGACCAAAAAATTCTCTATTTGCATATATTACATGATTTGCCTGTATTACTATAAGTCTCAGATTTGAAGTACAAAGTACAATTCCCGGAGGTGGAAGATGCACTAATAATCATCCATATCGTCTTCCCGTGATGAAAAGAACCTCCTAATGGCCGTGGAAACAGCCCCCAAAACCAGCAACAGGAAGAAGAACTCGAAACCACCACCAACGCCGACTGCAACACTAGGGCCTGGCGCGAAGAATGAGAATGGCGACCAACCCCAACCACCGTAAAATGGAACACTGTATCCACCATATCCATACCCACCAATTAGAGGTGGAGCAACAGGTGGATTCACATAAATATTGGTCCTGCAAGTTTAAGATGCACGCGTTAGTTCAACGATCGTTATGTTTTGTCACATAATCTGCAAGATCAATCAATGTCGTCTTCCAGGGGCCTCTGAAGCAAACTTTTTCCCAAAAAAGGCGATATGGAGAGGCCGTAAAAGAACAAGCAGAAAGACTAAAATGGAGAAATGAAGAGTGACAGGCAAGCGAAAGCAACAATTACGGAACAAAGACGGAATCCAAAAGGTAGGTTACAACTAAGGATAGCAAAATAATATTGATTATCCAGTCACACTGTGGCCAAAAGAAAAAAAAAAAAAATAGTCTATTCCAACCCCGTGCCATAAACGAAAAACATTCAACCACCATAAAATTTGGCATACAATTGATTCTATAAGTTAGAACTTAAAATGAAAACATCCCATTTCTGCATTACTATATCTTGTCCTTTAAAAAATAATAATTGTTGCTTACTGCCGGCCAACGTTACTAATGAGCTTTGCGTGTACTTGCTTACAAGCAGTTGCCTTCAAATTCAAACATGTTCTTGCTCTTTTGAGTTACTCCGTTTGAATTAAACAAATTGGACTATTAAAATGGGACGGAAAGGATTAAGATATAGAATCTTGACCCTTCTTTCCGATCCTATAAACCGACATATTAAAAGAGATTGCCGTATTTACACAATCCAAAGAAATATAGCAAAAGAATCAAACTAATCTACACTGAAATGTAACCAAGTAAGAGTCAATGAAGCAAAATATTAACCTGGAATTATTGTTGATCCTTGGAGAGGAAGCACGAGGAGCTGATTTGAAAGCCTGACCACCAATACGACCACCTGATTTTGCTGCAAATGCAGGTTCAATACCATTAACTGACCCCATCGCAAGCACCCCTGCTGCCAATGTCACAACCGCCAACTTAGCCAGCTGGTTTTCATTCTTCTTCCCAGAACTGCACAGAAAAAAACACCAAAAATTAAGTTCTTCAATCAACAGTTTCTAATCATTCCATCAATTTAGTTAATTCTGAATCACTACTAAAATCATACTAATGGTATCCAACCGGTAACAGAGTGCAAAGCAGACTTTTTTTTTTAATATATAAAAAAAGTTATATGTTTGATTACAAACCTGGAGGTGGATAAATCTTCTTTCTGGTCATCTGGGTTGTTCCGGGATGATGAAATAACGAGTTTACTAGCTGGAAAGAAGCTGGATTTTCTGGTGGGTTTGAAAGTTGAGGTGAGTGGATTAAGGTTGGAGAAGAAGCTACTGTCAATTGCAGCCATGGACATGTTGATTTGGGAAAATTGAGGCAAACACAATACTAATTTGAGCTGAATATGAAAGAATTTGGAAACTGCGAGCTTTCTAAATGTCTGCTCAATTTGGTAATCCGAAGAACTGGATATTTTCTGGGTTCTCGTTTTCAGGGCGGAACTGGGAAAAATATTGGGGTTGAATGAAACGAGAGGCTCATACTATTGGATGATTCTGAAATGGACACGTGTTGTCGTGCTAGTGGACGAAATAGAACCTTCAAGAATATTTCGATATTTTCCTCATTTTTTTCCTTTTGTTACTATTAATGTGAAAACATATGTTCTACAATCATACCTTTGCGACTGTATCCAATGGAAAATATATTTGATTTAGTCTCATTCTCGTAATATTTGCTAAATTGCCTCCAGTACGGCACTTAAAGGAAAAATATATTTACACAGATATTAATTATACGTTGTACTTTCAGAATACTTTTTGATAAACTTATAAAAATATATTGAATTTGTTATCGAGTGAAAGTAATTGAATAGATCCATTAGAGTATATTGAATTATCAAAGTATCATTAGAGTATATTGAATCCCTCTACAGCTAGAGTATATTGAACTTTTTAGAGGGATTCATCAGAGTATATAAAATGGTTAGTGATTTTGTCATGACACTTTCTAGCATTCAGGATAAAAATATGTATATCTTCCAAATTTATCCACTATGAAGTGAAAAGTCATTTATCTTCTCCCCTGATCTCGGTATTATCTTCACGTTTCTCTTTGATATCCTTTCCCCTCCTAAATAATCAGATATCTCTCCCTCAAAAATAATTTTCTTTGTGATCACAAAATGGTTACTAGTATACAACAACAAATAGGTTAAGTTAAACTAAATGTCTAGCAAACCAGATGAATACTCTGCTTCTTTGAGGGGACAGACAATGCACCATCAATGAAAACTGGAGTTGTGTCATCGTCCTTCGGGTCAGGAGCAAGCTTTCGCAATTGCATACGATTACAATTAGCATAAGTACTGACGACTTTATGATCAGTATTAGTAAATTCTATTTTCTTCTGAAAAATCGATATCTCAACGTCTCACTCTGACAAATCTGATAAGGAGGACTATTATACTGCTGTCTTATGGCTTCACAAACACCACCCTAAAACCCTCACTTGCAATATATCCTCACTTGTAATATAAAACCCTAGAATGAATTTTGCCTCGTTCAGCAGTTGAGCCGGAGAAAAAGAACGTTGCAGGGAAAGAGAGAGAGAGAGAGAAAGGAAGAGAGAGATTAATCAATTAACTGACTGGAGAAGAGGAGAGGATAAGATGCTTTTTGACTTCAGAAAAGGTAAATTTGGAAGATATGCAAATTTTTGCCTTGGATGCTAGAAAGTGAAAATCAGTAGCCATATAGAATTATCAAAGTATCATTCCTTGTGAACGAGACAGTTTATTTATGGAGAATTTGGTAACGAGTGAAAGTAATGGAACAAATACGGCTTTAATTACGTTTGGATTTTTTTTTTTTTAATGATGTAAAACTTATGATTTTTCTTAGGTCATTATTGATTAAAAAAAATTGTGCACTAATATATTTTTCCAATCACAACTTCAAAATAAGTGTGCCAAATTAAATGCAATTGTTAGAAAGAAAAATGAAAAAGACTAAAACTTAAGGAGCAAAGTGAAAGGTAAGAAGAAATTGAAGGATGAGTTGCGTGATGAATAAATAATGGTGTATATAGTGCTTTATAATCAATAAATGAAAGATAATACTAACACTAATAATAACGAAAAATAAATAAAGAGAAGAAGAAGATTCAGTTCTTAATTCCGTCCTGGGCTATAGCTAGTAGTTTTGAGCATAGGGGCCGCGGAATAGTAGTTGTACCTTTCCTCCTCCTCCTGAGTTGTACCTTTTTTTCTCAGTCCCCACTGTACCACCACTCCAAATCACCCCCCTCATCTCCGCGAAATTTACCGAATCAGGCCAAACCCATCTTCCTAAAACCCATTTCCAACCCCAAGATTTCATTATAAACTAGCTAATTCGATTCGATTAATGCATTTCGTATTGTTCTTTTAGGAAGAAAGGATCCGGCCTTTTTATCGAGGGGGAAAAAATTTTAGTGCTCTTCTTAATTGATCGGTTTTTTTTTTTTTTTTTGAGTGTTTCTAATGTCTTCGACTCCGCAAGCCACGGCTGCACCGGCGGCGACAGCAGCGCCGGCGACGGTCAGGGCCCCGGCTACTGTTGCTCCGGGAAGTGCTGCTGCCGCAAGTGGGAGCGGGAGGGAGAGGCTGCCGATTGAGTTGTGTAAGGGCATCAATGGCCTTGATAAAATTGTTCTCCGGGAAGTCCGTGGCAGCTCTGCTGAGGTATACTTAACCGACACTTTCTCCGGAACTTTTTGGATTTTTTTTTCCCCTTTTCTTCTTTCGAGGAGTGGGTCATTGTAGGAAGAAACTTCCCTGTTTTTTACATTTTATTGTCGTTATTCGCTGTCCTCTGATTGGATGATGTGACTTTGTTCGGTCAGATTCTTGGGAATTTAGTGCTTTGATTGGCTGGTTGGGGGGGTTCTTGAAATGGGTTTTGGATATTCATTTTATCTGTTATTTTCTCCTTGGATGTTGATTCGAGGATTACTTCTTGATTTATTTGATGATAAATTGATCTCAAGATCCCGTATCAAAGTTAAAGAGAGACTAGAAAAGATGTTCTTGATTTCCGCTGCAGTTTATAGAATTGGTTAGATTTCACTTTGTTCATGCATAACTGAGTTCTATGGTTTCTTGTGTAAGTTGCTAGTGTTGGATCTGTGACGGGGTAATACAAGAGAGACTGAGTTCTGTTGGAAGGTAGGCAGTTAGGGAAAGTCTGGGTTAGTTTGGTGATGTTCTCTCCATTTTGCATTTTCTTTATGTTTCGTGGAAGTTGGGTCTTCCTTATGGGGTCATTTTGGACTTTGTGCTGGACTCTGTAACTATGTAGAGTTGCAAGATTCACTGGTCATGTGTGTCGTATAACATGTTGTGATATAACCCATTAGATTGAGAGATCTTTTCCCTGTGAGGGAGAAAGATCCGACAACAGAAGTGGTATTCTTTTTTGCATAAAGTTAAGTTATGTATTCTTCTGCCACTTGTTTGCCTCTCGAAACTTATAGGAAAACCAATTGTTTGCAAGGAGACTAGAAGAGATGTATCCAGAGAAGTAGGTTTATCTTTAATGTTTGTTGTGGAAGTTTGCACATTGTAGTTTCTGCATTGTTGGCTTGCTTATGATTGAAACACCTTATCTATTGGGTTACAGTTATTTTGCGCACCAAAACAACTTGCTTGCATCCCCAAAGAATTCATGGTTTAATTGAAAACTCGGATACATAGACCTTAACCAAGTGTAGAAAAATGATAAATAGCTTAGGCTACATGTACTATTAGTAAAATGTAACACGAGTTCATAAAAAATCACGTTAATCAGAAAACTTGTGGCTTTCTTTTGGAGTTTCACACATAAAATGTGATTGACATGGGCCTTCTTCACTTTAATCATTTTCTGATCTTTTTTGACATATGTAAAGGTGTAAAGGTGCAAAAACCAAATGATTTCAGAGATATTTGAAGGTGTAATTTAAACCTATAGTTCTTTGTATTAGAGAATTTCTTCTCACTAGTAACAAGAAATGGCATATACCTTATATTCAAGCAGGTTATCCCAGACCAGCTTACAGGCTCCCATCCAGATGCAAAAATAAGTTAGTGTCATAGCAGAAAGGCAAATTGTGCTAAAATTTTTATGCTATGTATGGGTGATCATCCTTTTTATGAGTTTTGTTCGTATTAGTGCCGATGTTTGTAAATTTTCGAGTACTCTAAGATATTGACCATGTTTCGTTATGTATGGATTTTTGGAGTTGTTCAAACATTTGGGCTCACTAAAATATCAGTTTTTGATTAGCATTGTTCAACCTGTTTAAACTTCGTCTCTCATTTCAGGTGTATCTGTATGGAGGTCATGTGACATCTTGGAAGAATGATCACGGGGAGGAGTTGCTTTTCCTCAGCAGCAAGGTGATCTGACTTTGAAGTCATGAATTATTTATTTATTTATTGTTTTGTAAGCTTAGTTTCTTATGTGAGGGTATGCTTGCTTATGGACCTAATTTATTCTCGACAATCAAAACTGCTGTCTGATCTAGTCAAGCTACTTTGTTTATGACATTCTAAGACTGTGCGTCATTATTAGACTGCTAATCATATAAATTGGTCCGTAGCTTTTTTGTTTATGATGCCTATGAAGTTCATCTAAAGTCTAAACATGTCTTTGATCAAATTACAGAGTAATCCAGCTTTAGCTTGTATTTTGGAGTTAGTTCTAGAAGGCCCTCACTACTTTTAAAAATTACCTGCTTAGTAATAATGTTATGGGTGGCTTCCTTTAATAAACTCTTTCTTCCACCAAGTGTACCATTTCTCTTTCGTACTGTTTCTTTCTGCAAACCTATATGTTGACAACACTGTTGGTCTTTGGCTTTCAGTCTATACTTCATAATTCCAGTTTCATTGTTGAGGAACTGGATTATTAAATTATCATTGTTTATTTTTTTAATCTGTTGGCCTGTAAATACAAGTTTGAGTGGTTGGAGGTCATTCTGTTGTTTGTCTCCAACAATTGAAGGAATGTTGATCAAACTTTATCTCAGCAGTATTTCACTGTTCTTTTTCTTTTTTAATCTTGATAGGCCATTTTCAAACCTCCGAAGGCAATTCGTGGAGGAATTCCTATATGCTTCCCTCAAGTATGTGACTCTCAGCCTTTGCCATTTCAAATGTGCTCCTGTTTTGGTCATTGTGAAATAAAAATGGTTGTCTGCAGTTCTCCAATCATGGATCTCTGGAGCAACATGGATTTGCTCGAAACAGGATTTGGAGCATTGACAATGATCCTCCTCCGTTTCCCACTAGCACCTCTGCTAAGGCTTTTGTTGATTTAATTCTCAAGCCCACAGAAGAAGACCTGAAGATCTGGCCTCACAGGTATATATGAATTCCTGTTCTTGTCCGGTCATGCAATTTTAATATAAATTTTTTGCCAGATTTTGCTTAATAGGTTTTTACTCGTTCGGTAATTGTCTGCTATCTTATGTTTGCAGTTTCGAGTTCCGCTTGAGAATTAGTTTGTCACCTGCTGGCGATTTGATGTTGACTTCTCGCATCAGAAACACCAATGCAGATGGAAAACCATTCACATTTACATTTGCATATCATACTTATTTCTCAGTTTCAGATATCAGGTTGTTTTTTTTTTTTCTTTCCCTTCTGTTATATTGTTAGTTTTCCTTTTTTTACTCTTTACTAATTTTTCACATTGTATAGCTTATGATTGCATCATGTCCTGTATACATTTTTATGTGCTTTGAGAAGGAATGATTAAACTTGGCTCGGAACATGTACAAAGCTGTAGAATAGTTATGATTACGAGAGCGAGGGGAGGCGAAAAGAAAACTTTGAGTGCATGTAGAGACTTTACTTCTCCTGACATCTTATGTGACTTAAGCATTAAACTTAAAGGAGTGAAAACTTTGTAAATTCATTTTCAGGAGTAAATTTTTCCGTATACAAATCAAAGTGCATTGCTTGGAAACTCTTATAGGAGGCGACAATATTATTTTTCTGACAAGCTTTTTGATTTTGCTATTAGTAAATACAGAGGATTCTTTTATAAGCAATAACTTGACTATGCTCTTAATGTTGCTATGGTTATTTTTTCTAATAATTGATGAAGTGCTAGAAATATATTAAAATACAATCGGAAGACCAACTGGAGTAATGGTTTAGTGTTTTGAGAGTGTCAAGTGTGACTGCATTATTTAGATTGTTTGCAAGAATAAGAAAAAGCAACCCTAAATTGGAGAAAAGAGGCTGTTTTATCTAGTTACCATAAGTTTGTATTTACGGTAGAAATTTCCACTTAGTGTTTCAGACTTCCTGATTATGTATGATGTCCTTTAGATGGCTCCGTGTTGCATATTGTTGAGTTTTCATTATTTTTCTACTGAATGAACTAGTCTACTCTGAGCCCAAGTCTCCTTTTGACCCTTTCTTCTTGCCACAGTGAAGTTCGTGTTGAAGGATTGGAGACTTTGGACTACCTTGATAACTTGCAGAATAAGGAACGATTTACTGAACAAGGAGATGCTATTACTTTCGAGGCTGAAGTAAGTTTTGGTTGATTTTAAGTTAGCCTGATCACTTGGCTTGTTTGGTATAGCTGAAGATTTTATTTATTGATTGATTGATTATTTATTTATTTTTTCGGGTTTGTTGGTCAGGTGGACAAAATTTATCTTGGAACACCCACAAAGATTGCAATTCTGGATCATGAGAAGAAAAGAACATTTGTCCTTCGTAAAGATGGACTCCCGGATGCTGGTATGTTTGAAAAAAATATGGTATTTGCTTGACTGTGGTAGCTATTGGTTATAACTAGCTGAATTACCTATACATACTTACTAATGGGGAAAGATTCCTTCTTAAGTGTACAATCAATGCGGGAAATCTTGTGTGCCTCTTTTTGTCATAGAGGTAGAGAAAGTTTTGAGGTGGAAACTAATTTATATTGATAAGTATGTTGGTGGGAATTTTAATTTTAAAGTTGACTGTCAATTCTTCGTAAGGAATATTAGGAAAAGAAAGGAACAAACGTGGATTGTCTTTTCATTTTATCTTATTGGTGCTCAGGAAAATTTTAGAGGAAGTTAAGAATCAATGAGGGTTTACTTTTCCATTTTATTTTTGTATACGCCGTGGTCTAGCTCAATTTTCTGTTCTGGTGTTTGTGGAGTCAGTATCATACTTTCCGGTTCATTCTATAGCTGCTTTCTTTGTGGAAATTCTTTGCTTTATTATAACCTGAATTTGTAGTAAAGCCACTGCCATGGCAGAGCCATCAAGTGTTTTGATGGTGCTGGCTGCTAGGCAAGTAAACTTTAATTCAGTACTATAGACCTTATTAAGCACTGCGATGAAACTTTATTTATTGCTAGGGAGGAATTGGAAAGTGGGAGTAATTATTCAGTGAGTTGGACAGCCAACAATAAACATGAATAAAAATGATGGTAGCAGAAATGAGGATGCTAAGATATACTTGTGAAAACACTCGAGTAGAATAAGTAGTGTGCCCATTGGAAAGAGAGAAGATGAAAATGATAGAAGACACTTAAGCTTGTTTGGATGTGGGAAAGCGACTTTTAAATTCACTAGTATAATGGTGGAAATTGAAACTTAATGAACTCAAACCAAATGAAGAAAAGGAAAACCTAGACTTGGCTATATACTGTATGTTTTCACCAGAACAGTTAATGATTTTGAAGAAACAAAATGCAAATGTTTATTGATTTTAGCCCTTTGATGCTTAAATAGAAACGAAATGGATTTATTTATTCTTTCACCATCAATCATCCTTCCAATCCTGCCTCTCCCACACTCGAACTGCCATCATGCCTCCGCTATAACCTCAGTGACCAAAAACCCAGGTCAAGAAAGCAAAATAAGTTCTTCCTGGATCTGAGTAGCAATGCGCAATATGTTCGGTGGAAACATTGTATGCTCTGGTAAACCTTTCAATTTCTGCAGGGCATTTCATTTGATCATTTTCAATCAGCTCTCTGTGTGTTTTGTTTTTGTTTCAAGTCTGTTACTTGTTTCTCCTCCTGAATTGTCTGGAGGAGGAACGAGTACTGCAGATGGCTGGTAAGTGCAAGGAAGATTAAGGAAAGTGAGGTAGATGCAGGAGATTAGGGAAAAGAGGAACGGGGTTGGGGGAAAGGGATTTTGTTTATCTTTGAATTTGCCCCTAAGAAAAACAATTTTAATTGATTTCTAGACACCGAAACCCCTCTCAGCAAGAGATGGTGTAATTATATCTCAATTTAATTCACGGGAATTGGGGCTTCTTTTTTTTTTTCCCCCTAGCAGGCTATATGTTCATGGCTGCTAGCTTGTTTTATAACTAATAAATCAAAATGATATTTAGTTTGCTGGTGGTTGTTCAGTGGTGTGGAACCCTTGGGAGAAGAAAGCGAAGGCAATGGCTGATTTTGGTGATGAAGAATACAAGCACATGTTGTGTGTGGAGGCCGCTGCTGTTGAAAAGCCTATTACTCTAAAACCTGGTGAGGAGTGGAGAGGAAGGCAAGAACTGTCTGCTGTTCCTTCCAGCTATTGTAGTGGGCAACTTGATCCTCGGAGAGTTCTTCTAGGCAGCTAGGAAATGCTATGTGCTAATTCATATAATGTACAGGTATTGAATATGCACCACTTCTCTTGCACTATGAGATGATTCAGGTGTGTCCATTTTGATTTTCTTTTTTGATGTGTGATTATTCATGCATATCAAAAGCGTTGCCTGCGGCAGACATGTGGCAAATAAAGCCTTTTACGCAAATTCATTATGCCACATTTTCGTTATGGAATTTCTTTAAAATGTTAGTATTACAGAAAAAGTAATATGGTGATACTTGGCTATATCAACTGGCGTTGTGTATTGACAGAATGGATAATCAACTGGACAACACTGAAATGTCCAAATTCCCGGAACAATATAGCCTTTCCCTGTTTTAGCATTGCTGTCAAGTTAGCAAACTATTGGTTATATGCCAAATTAGAATGTGTCGTGCCTGTAGCTATGGTCTTTTGCATACCCCTTTCCGTTATTCGAAAAGTTTGATTATATTACTCTGGCTGTGCATGCAGGTGCTCAATTGCAATATACTGTTGGAGTGCAATGGCGACCTCTGTCCAAGACCTATCTGTTGCGTTATCCCTTATTTTCTTTTTACGCTTTTGTTATCCTTGGGTCGGAGGCGATTATGGATTAGTAAAACTGTGGAATAATATTTTCTTGATAGTAATGGATGCTGACTTTTTTACCTGGCTTGGATGGCAAAGTATTTGTAAGGCAGCAAGTCTGGTATTTGGAACAAAAGTAGGTCGTTTCCCTTCTGAACTTGAGCCTGTTCTATGTTTCTATCCAGATCGAGTTTGGGTTCACAACCTGGTGCCCTAAAGTTTTAGCTTTCGAAATTGATGCTATCATACTACAGATTGAAGTAGTTACTTGTGTTCTTATTTTTGGGGTTTCAAATTATATGCAAAACTGAAGTTAGGAGTTCCTAAAATGTTAAAATATGTGAAGTAAGACAATAATTTTGGGGTGGAGGAGAGAAATAATCATGCATGCTTGATTTTCATAAACGAAAGGGACCTTTCTTGACGAAAAATCTGGCTTGTTGAAACTGGAAAACTTTTCCTAAGCTAATAAGTGTAAAACACGTAACCAAATAATGATTTCCTTTACGATGATTGAAACAAGATAATATTTCAATATATCGTGTCTTCAATCAACTCTGCCTTAAACCGGATCTATGAAACTGAAAGGTGCATAGAAAACCATATCCGTTCTTAACAGTTCGTCCATATGGAACAGTTAGATTGTAACATGTTAGAAAGATTCTTGCGTGTGAAGATGAAATATTACAATCATTCATACATTTCCACAGCCTGCCAAAACACAAATGCACGCCTGGTTAAGAAAAAAAAAAAAAAAAACCAATAGCACAGTTGTCTGTTTGGCCAACTAAAAAATTTGTTGGTACGCCCATGCAAAAGTCTCATGTAAGCAACTGGGGAAAGCAAGCAGCCTCAAACAATGCTTATTCTTTTTTTTTTCTTTTGCGTTGAACATCCGTCGGTCTCTGCCCCAATGTCGTCCAGATTTTTCTCACTTTTGATTAAGAAATCGCCGTCGATCGGTCCTCAAACCCCAGTTATTTCATTGTAATAATAACTCGTGGAATGCGTCAATGATGCTAATGAGATGCAGTGACAGATTAAGCTTAACCAATCTGTTTTAGATCAGTCAGGTAGCGATAATATATCTAAATTTATGGTAAGATATTGTTATTCGTTAACATCTTGATACTATTATGAGTATCATTGTATTTTTATGCACATAATAAAATGTTATACCATTTCCGAGTCGCATTTCGCTCTATGTTTACATAATACCTACTTCCAAGTTCCAACTCTAGGGTAGATCAAATTAACATTATTTGGTTCTGTTTTGTTTCTTTTGTCTTCCACACGCTCCTAAAACGACCTCTTGTTTTATACTTTGGAATTTAACTAACTCGATGTCAAATGGACCGACAACTATGATCCTCCTAAAACCTAACCTAGCTAGTGGTCCAAATACACGTATTTTAACTTTAAACTTACTACTATATAGTACTACTGTATTATGTAAGTTTCCAACTCACCCTATCCAGTCGGATTACGAGTTTCATATATTGAGAAAGTACTTTCTTTTTGCCAGCAATTAACATTTGGAGAGAATGTCTAGTAAATGCCCTTCAGTTTTGCTTCTTTCTCTCTTTTTGACATTAATTACTACTACTACTACTTATGCTCAATTAAGTGCAAACTTCTACTTCAACACCTGCCCTAATGTTGAGCTCCTAGTCCGGAGTGCAGTTCAAGCTAAGTTCCAGCAGACATTTGTTACCGCTCCGGCAACTCTCCGCCTGTTCTTCCATGATTGTTTCGTTCGGGTTTGTCTTATATATATATATATATATATATATATATATATATATAAAATATGATCAACGCATGAATCTCTTTTGATTTGCATGTGTAGGAATAAATAGAAAATCTTATATTGTTTTTGATGTATAATATGTGTTAATTATAGGGATGTGATGCTTCCATCATGATCGCATCACCTAATAACGACGCCGAGAAAGATCATCCCGACAACCTTTCACTCGCCGGAGATGGATTCGACACCGTGATCAAAGCCAAAGCAGCCGTGGACAGCGATCCTCGGTGTACTAACAAAGTTTCATGTGCAGACATACTAGCCTTGGCCACCCGAGAAGTGGTTTCTTTGGTACTACATACAACCTTAATTTTAAAAAACATTACATTAATTAACCCGAAGTTAAAAAAAAAAAATTATGTCACATATATATAATAATAAGTAAAAAACCATGAATTTCGTTAACATGAATTTTTGCAGGCTGGAGGACCATTTTATCCGGTGGAATTGGGGCGGCTTGATGGGAGAATATCTAACATGGCAAGTGTACAAGGAAGTCTCCCGAAACCTGAATTCAACTTCGATCAGCTCAATGGCTTGTTTTCTAGCCATGGTCTTGACACCACCGATTTGATTGCGCTTTCAGGTAAACACTATTTTTAAATACGCAAGCATTTTTTGATGAAATTTCCCACTTTAATAGAAATATTATATACAAAATCGTTTAATGTTGACATCCATGATTAGTGATTGATAATACTCCACTCTGTCCGAAAATGATGTTTTCATTTGAACCGAAAAAAATGAAAATCCATTAAAAAGAAAAAAAAAATGAAAGTCCATTAATCGTTCATAATAAGTTAAAACTTTGTTTGTCTGCTCGTGATAACTTTAACCACCACATGTAATTCAAATCAAAAGATTCAAGAACTGGAGAAAAGATTTTTCGTGACTTGATTAAAAGCCATCGATGGAAAATGGCAATTTGACTGATAAAAGACAAAAAATGTAATCTATTTTATATTTCGAGGTAATTCCTTAATTAATATAAGATCTTGTGTGACACTTTTAATATTATTACACTTAACTTATTATCCTCAGTTATTCGACTAACGTCTTTATAATTAATACTAAAATCCTTGTGAAATTGTGAGTAAACTCTACCATATGATAGTATATATATGCGTAGCAGATATATATTTATTGAAAATTGTTACTTCTGTTCTAAAATAATTATCGTGTTTGATGTTTTCGAATTACTATGCTCATGTGAATTTTCACTGTCGTTATCAAATCATTGTGGGGTTTATTACATTACTCTTTTCTTTTCCATTAAATTTCAGACACTAACATTTTGCAATTTTTGCTGTTCTTCCAAAAAAGGTGCACATACAATTGGATTTTCACACTGTGGCAGATTCTCAAAGCGGGTTTACAACTTCAGCCCGCAAAACGCCATTGACCCGACCCTGAACCTAGAATACGCCATGCAACTGAAACAAATGTGCCCGCAACAAGTCGACCCGACCATCGCCATAAACATGGACCCAAATACTCCAAGAACGTTCGACAATGTTTACTACCAAAACCTTCAGCAAGGGAAGGGACTGTTCACCTCTGATCAAACTTTGTTTACCGACGGCCGGTCGAGGGCCACGGTGAGCCAGTTCGCCACCAATCCGTTTGCATTCCAGCAAGCTTTCATAACTGCCATTACTAAGCTTGGTCGGGTCGGAGTGTTGACTGGGAATCAGGGTGAGATTAGACGTGATTGCACCAGACCAAATTAACTATAGTCACATTGAACAAAAGAATTGTTTGTTGGTAGTGTTATTTTTGTGATTTGTTTCGTATGATTGATGTTCTTTACATCCATAAATCCGGTGAACTAATAAGGTTAATATCTCTCCAATAATTTATTGTTTGAAAGAAAAATGTAACACCCAAAAGGGTTCATCTTTTCGTGTTTTCGCATGTTAAAATTTTTGGAGACCCTTGTTTGATAATTTCTTAGTGAATTTTTCAGGCGCTTTCCCTGAAAAATACTCCTGAACTCAGAGTAGATAAATCTAGGCTTCTCTATTTCAGGTGAACAATTTATAGGTATATTGGATTCTCAAAATCCGATTTTCTAATTTAATTAGTAAATCAAATTTCCGAAATCCGACTTTCATTTATTAATATAATATTAATTTTCGTTATTTTGGCAAAGGAAAAAAGAAGGAAAAAAATTAAAATCGGGTTTTAAGAATCCGACTTTATAAAATTAATTTTTTTTTAAAAAAATAACTTTGTTTTTGGCGGAAAAATTTAAATTGAATTAGAAGTATAAGTCGGATTTTCCAATCCGATTTACTTTTTTTTTTTTCCAAAAAATTAACCTCTACGCCTTTTTTCCGAAGTATAAATCAATTTGCTTAGTGATCATATATATATATATATATATATATCTAATATTCTGAAACCAAAGATGTTAAAAATTCTAGCTGAGTAGACTTGCCAAGTGTCGATGGTAGACGACAATAACTGCTGATCAAGGACCGATTTGGGAATCAAAAAGACGTACGATTTCTCAAATCTGATTATCTTTTGCTTATAAATTTTGACGTAATGTGTTATATTAGAGAATTTTGGAACATCAAACATGAGATGTTATATACTTCCTTTTCTTTCTGTGCATAACTAGTTACTATTCTGTATCGTAACTTATATGTATTTAAATTTTTAAGGAAGCGTAATTTTGACTAGGATTGGATTCTCACTTTTATTGATACAATACTCTACTTTACCATCGCTCAAATTAAGAAAAAAGAGAAATTAAAATGAAGAAGTATTTTGTAATTATCTTGGCTTCCAAATTGTCATCGATTCCATGATCGAGAATTGTGTAATATCAATTCTAATTTCAAATTCTGTAAATTTTACTTACTAAACAAATGAACACACCTACTTAGTATATTAATTAATCACAAGTTACTTCTATTACTAATTACAGGCAAGGACCTATTTTAGAATATTTTCCCAATAATAGATACAGTATAAGGACTCAAGGTGGTTGATCAATCTTCATTGCTAATTAGTAGTATTTTTTTTTTTTTTTTTTGGAGAAAAACGAAATTGCATTCATATTACTGGAAAAGGTCCATCACCGATTGATTTACAAAGCTTGGAGGGTCACTCCATGTTGTTTCAATAACATCAGATGATTTCGCAAATTTGGCAAAGTTATGAGCAATCACATTTTCTTCGCGTCGAACCCAGGATAGCTTTTGGACAGGAAGGTTTTGGCACATGCGTATCACGTCATCAAGAACCGGGGAACATGAGCTTGGACTATCGGAATCTTGAGCAGCAGCAAGTATTATGATTGAGGAATCTCCTTGAACCAAAACGTCCACAAGATCAAGTTGTCGACAAAGTAGCAATGCCTCACGTAAAGCAAGAGCTTCTGAAAGACAAGGGTCAACAACGTTGGGAAATTGACGAGCCAAACCATGCAAAAATTGTCCTGAGGAAGATTGAATATAAACTCCAGCTCCTGCACATCGGTTTGAGCTTGAAATTGATCCATCGAAGAAAACCTGGATAGCATTTGCAACAGGTTGAAAAATAGTATTCATCGCTTGCAATTCAGGAAGATCTCTAGCTTGATTTGTTGATGTAGAAGCCAAATCCTGAACAACTCTGCTAGCATGGAGAACAGTAGACCAAGGGGTAATGTTTTTTTGCTCAAAAACAGCAGAATTCCTTGCATACCAGATACCAGAGAGAAGAGCAACAAAAAATGATGTTGATACAAACGTGTTTTCAAGAATTATTGCTCTAAACCATTGCTCACAATTGGGACGTTTCAGTTGTGAAATTTGCTGATATAGACCTGTAATTCTGAATGTTTGCACTGCATATGAACAATCAAAGAAGATATGGCCATTGGTAACGGAATTCTGATTACAGAAGGGGCAGCTATCATCAAAGGTCACATGTCTTGCAGCCAGGTTTGATGGGGTGGAGAGCAAATTGCTGCATAGCCGCCAAGCAAATAAGAGAGTTTGGTTTGGGAGCTTCAACTGCCACATTCTCTCCCAAATAGGATCCTGAATACCCACCGGCATAGGATTGGAATCTTGGACATGATCACTGAACTGAGGAGAGTACAATAACTGATAGTATGCTGACTTAACTGTATGATTGCCCTTTCTATTGAAGTGCTATATCCAGCGATCATGTGATTAAGAGTGTGGCAAAGCCATAGATAAAATGGCAGAAGCTTCTTCAGGAGGGAATATGCAACGAACCAGCTCTCGATTCCAGTCGCTTTGATCTGCACTAAACAAGGCTGAAACATGCGCATTAGCTAACAAAGGAGAAGGGGAAATTGAAGATATGAAAGTTGGCTCCAAGGGGATCCACTTGTCTCCCCAAATTCTAGTTTGCTGTCCACTTCTAATCTGTATGCTGCGCCAAGTTCACAAAGGCCTGCTACCAAGAGTTGCATCAAAAAATTTCTGATTAGGGTAGTATTTGGCTTTCAAGACACGAGAAAGCAAAGTATTTGGAGAAGTAAGCAAACGCCAAGCTTGTTTACTTAGCATGGCGATGTTGAACGCTTTATAATTACGGAAACCAAGACCACCATCTCTTTTGCTATGAGCCATGTTATTCCATGAAGACCAATGAATTTTCTTGCTGTCCGCCGAATCACCCCAAAAAAATTTGCTGGACATAGATTGTAGCTCATACAGAATAGTATCTGGAAGCATAAAACAGGACATTGCATATGAGGGCATCGCCTTGATTACCGATTTAATGAGCACTTCTTTGCCAGCTCTAGACAGATTTTTTGAACTCCAATGATTCAGTTTTTGCCAAATACGATCTTTGATGTTTTGGAATACTTCCTGCTTGTTACGGCCAACTACAGAAGGGAGGCCAAGATACTTTCCATGACTTTTCACCTCTGGAATACCCATGATACTGCAAACTGAATCTCTGATGGCAACATCCATGTTGGGGCTGAAAAAAAATTCCAGATTTTTCCAAGTTGATGCTTTGGCCAGAAACTCTTTCAAAAAGTTGGATTGTTCACTTCAAATATCGAGCTTCATCCTCCGTTGCATCTCCAAAGAGCAGAGTATCATCGGCGAATAAAAGGTGGGATATACATGGAGCATTTCGACTAACCACCACACCATGGATGCGACCACAACTCTGAAGGTCCTGCAGTAAACATGAAAAGACTTCCGAACATATGATAAAAAGGTACGGAAAAAGAGGATCACCTTGACGAACTCCTCTTTCTGGGAAAGGATTGCCAAATTGTTCACCATTTAAAATGAAGGAAAACCTAACGGAGGAGAGACATTGATGGATTAGATTAACAAAAGGCTGAGAGAAACCTAGAGCAAGCAAAACAGATTTTAAAAAACACCATTCAATACGATCAAAAGCTTTGCTCATATCTATTTAATAGACATTAAACCTGATTTATTCCTAGTACGAGTCTTCATGAAATGGTGAGTTTCATATGCTAGAAGAATATTATCAGTAATGAGACGACTAGGTATAAACACTGATTGAGATTCTGAAATAATTGAGAGAAGCAAAAGACGTAACCTATTAGATATAATCTTAGAACATAGTTTATAGGTTACGTTGCATAAAGAAATAGGCCAAAATTGAGTTATAAATTCAGGATTTTTGACTTTAGGAATTAAGACAATATGAGTATAATTTAGTTGGGGATCTAAGATTCCAGAATTTAAGAAATTTAAACAGAATTTGTAACATCCACTCCAACTATATTCCAGAATTTTTTTTATAAAAAAGTGGACTCATACCATCCGGACCCGGCGATTTGAAGGGTGCCATTTCTTTAAGTGCTATCAAGACTTCATCCGACGTGAACTCTTGCATCAACCGGTTATTCATCTCCAATGTCACTTTTGGCGTTAATCTATCAACTGCCTGCCTTATTTCAGATTCCCTTTTGGCATTAATCTATCAACTCCTTTGCTTCCATTTTAGGTTTTCCCTTTCGCACAACATCTCCAGTTGTTTTTCCAGATTACCAAGTCGAAGACGCTGAGGATCATCAATCCTACTCCTCTGTAAAGACAAGATTTCTTTCTTCAACTCATCAATTCGTTTATCAAAACTCGAACCCTGATGCCTACTCCAATTCATCAGTCCAATGCAAACATTTTCTAACTTCTCCTCAATCGAGTCAAAATTCTGGTTCCAACAATCCTCAATAATCTTCTCACAGTCCTCCACTTTAATCCAATGTGCCTCAAAACGAAAAAGGGCGCTTTCTTCGTAAATCATAAGAGCTAGGGTTTCGATCGCGCAACTGAACATACAACAGCATATGATCAGAAGAAAACATTGGTATATGCCTTTGCTCCATGGAAATAAATCCCACAACTCTGAATTGCAAGTTGCTCTGTCCAAACGAGCACGTTGGGTTTGCGGATGGGCTAGAGGTCTCTGCCAAGTGTATTTATAGCCTTCAAAGCCCATATCATGGAGTTGAAGTTGTTCCAGAAAGTTGCGAAGAAGCTGAATTTGCCAACCAGCCCTAGCTCGCACTCCTTGAAATTCATTCTGAACTAGAACTTCATTAAAATCACCCAAAAAGATCCAAGGGCGATGGTTGGATCAAAAATTAAAGAAAGGTGATTCCATGCCTCCTTTCGTAGAGATACATTGGATTGTCCATATATAGTAGTAACTCGAACCTCCTTCCCTTGAAACTCAATGTCAACATCGATAAAACGATCCGAATAAGAGCGTAAGCTCACAGTAATATCCTTGCTCCACAGCAACGCAAGACCACCTGAACTGAACGCTTGGTTGATCGGGTGTACTTCTCCCATAGATTCCTATCTCTTTATTATTAATTTATCGATGTATTATTAATTATCAATTTATCGATGTTCTACTCAATGGCTAAAATCTTCCCTTTTAAACTCCAAATTTATTGGTGAAAATTGAATCCGAATCTAACACCAAGAAGTAAAACGCCCTAATAATTAGGTTGTTATTCAATTTCCGCTCTTATTACTTGTTTATAAATAGGAAAAAATGGGTTTCACTGTTTATTTTTTGTTTAATCCGAGTCTAACACTATAAATGGAACTAATTATATCGGATCCTTTATTTTTTTGTTTAAAACAAATACAATTTTAAGAGGATTTGGAGAAAATTTTAAATGGAACTACTTATACAATTGAAAATCTCGCAACCCATGGTGATATTGAAGCCCAGATTTTTTCTTTTTCTTTTTTGCGCATGTCTGGGGCTGGGGAAGCTGCAGGGCATGTGAATTTTCCTGCAATGACAGCAAAAGACAAGTTTGAATGCTATAACCCGGTGAAGAAACCCGGCCCGGTTTGGATGGAAAATGTGTTGGCAAATTTCGGTGAAGAGTATGTTCAATTTTTTTTTGATCCATTTGCTGAGGGGGCAAATCCCACCCGAGTATAAGTTTGCTAAGGAGTTCTTGAATGTGTGTGATGCTAACCAAGATGGACGGGTAGATTATTCCCAATTCTGAAAGTATATGGATGATAAAGAGCTGGAATTGTGTATATGATTTTTCAAGCTATTGATGAACAGCATAACGCGATTGCATATTGCCTGAGGAACTCTTGGATGCCCTTTCCATCTTTTGGATTTTATGTCTGGAGGAGTGGAGCTTCTTTGGGTTTATGAATGTGGCTGTAATTGTATGCTCAGATGCAGATACATGTGTATTATGATTACATGGATCCTTTAGCATCTGCTTGCTTAGATTAGTTAGGTTCTTTAGCATTTTTTTTTTTTGCCCAAGTTTAGTTCAAATCGGATTCCCAGTAACCGATTTGATCATTCTGTTTAATAACGGGAAAATCGGATTTTACAAATCGGTTTTTAATTTTTTTTTTCCTCCGAGCAAATTTTCATAAATATTTTCCTCAGAAATATTATTATTTTTAAGTAAAATCGGATTCCAGAAATCCGATTTTATCTTAGTTGTGATAAACTTAATTAATTATATATACTTAGTCTAAATCGGATTTCTGGATTCTGATATATAGTTGAAGTCGGATTTTGAAAATTCGATATGCTTATTTCTGGCTACTCCCTTCCCGTATGCGTATTTCTGGCTTTTCCAATTCTGGAAACATTTTTTTGGACAAAAACTCTGAATTTTTTATGAGATAGCTAGATTTGTAAGAACCCGGAAAAGTGATTGTGAAAAATTAATGAATTCAGTTGATAAGTATAGTTTTTCTAAGAAAAGAATTGTAGTTGGAAATATACGTGCTTAAAATGATGAACAATTGAAGTTCTGTTGATGAATCGAATAATATGAGTGAGGCAAGATTGAATGATATTGTTCAAGAAAAATAAAATTTTAGTTGGATTTATATTTGACCAAGAGCAATATACATTGCAAAGAAGGGGAAAAAAAAAACTAAAATACAGAAAAATATCAAAGAAAAACAAATTTATTTTAGTACAACGACGGGGGAATAAATTTTTTTAAATTGGAAAATTTCATTAAATTTACTAGAATCAACTAAGCCCAACTGGTTAAAAACAAACTTAGCAACGAAAAATAGATTTATCACATTTGTTATACGAGTTCGTATGAGTGTTATGATATGAGTTAGTCCATTTCTAAAGGTAGAATCCAATACAAAGAGAAACATGTAGGAAAATAATTTTAAGATACCAACTTACAACATTATTATGTGGTTATGGAACTCCCTATGGTTATATTGTTGCCATGGATTTTTATTGCCTGGAATGTAGCAAGCAAGTTGGTAAGATCGTCTCTCACAAGATTAGTTCCAAAAAAATAGGATTATTTAGAGAGGAGGAAATATTATAAATAAAACAAAATAAAATGTGGTGTTTGGTATTCATATCATGCAAAAACCACCCCAAAACATTTCCAAATGATGATGAAATTCAGAACACATAAATTTCTTCTTCATTTATGATCTATCTACATTGTTGAGAAGCATTCTAAGCTGGATGGAGTGTAAAATGCAAATACAGGCCTAATAATCTTCTTGTATTTGCCTCCTGATATGAATCACAGAAAAGAAGTGGTTAATTTGAATGTAGCATTTACAGGTATATAAAAGTACAAGATGTTTACTGAAATCGATCAAGAAAGAAACTACGGATCACTTCCCTCGATCAAGTGGTTAAATAATCTCCTGTGTTTATTCAAGTAATATGATCAAGGAGTGATTAGATTCTAGGAGATGGTACTTGTATGATTTTGTTAACAAAACTACTAAATATCTAAGCAGAACATAAATTTCTGTAAAAGGTTATGTTCTGTTCAAACTCAGATCTTGGAACTGCCAATTTGATATTGTTTTATCTTGTTTCTGTGTGGCACTGGAGCTGCTCAAACTAGGACTGTTGTCACAAAGCTCATCCCTTGTGTCTATTTTCATTAGGACTGAATTGGAAGAAAGCTGCAACCTACTTGAATCCGAACCCAAACCTTCCAGTTCTAGGCTGCAGATCTTCCTCTCTTTACTTGATGGTCTCTTCCTACTTTTGGTACCACCAATACTGAGAGTCAGCTCCACATCTATTTCCTCATCCGATCCACCCGTGTTCATTGGCATACCGGGTAAAGGGCGGTGGCAATTAGGCCTTTCTTGATCCTGTTCTGCAACCCTTTCAAGGTAGAAGGCTTCTTTGGCTATTCTCTGGCTCTCCCCTGAACAGCTTGCGCTTCGTTCTCCTGAATCGTATGTTGAACCACAAATTGGGAAGTTGGACCTGATGTCTTGCATTTGCTTCTGCCACATTGTAAATTGAGAAATGTTGGCATCCTTCATGCCTAGTGGACTGCATTTATATTCCTTTTGCCTTTTCAGCTCACACATCAGCTTCATCTGGCGATCATAAAGCCGATGAAGCTCTTTCACCTAGAAATTCATACATTTTTTTATCCAGATAGAGTTAGTTCAAGTCCTGAGGTAATCATTAACAAATTTATGCAGCTTATCTGTAAAATTTCAAATGGATACTTCAAGTTTTGAGGCAATTATTGGACTATGACAGCATGTCTCTTAAGGATTCAAATTAGATGATATTACTTTAATCGAAAAGTCAATGGAGACAAGTTGAATGAACTCTAGAGAATGCATGGACATATCCTGATATTGCTCCCATATACTCTAAGGAGACAAGGCATAGCTGGCTCTCATATGGGACTAATACTATATTCAAGGTGAGATCTGAAAGCCAATAAAAAAAAAAAAAGGTGACAAACACATCCATATCTTCAACTTGCTGAATTTTTTTAGATTCCTTAAGGTATCAATCTTGGGATAAGTGCAACTGAAATCATGGAGTTTTACATTTGTACTGATAGATTTGGAAAAGCTGTGATTGTATAGGATTTAGGGACATGATCAGAATGTGGAGTTATAGCACACACCTGTAGTTGAAAGATATCTTCATGCATCAGCATTGTCTTCTTGATAGTCTCTTTTTTGTGTGACTGAAAATCAAATATCTCATCCATGGAATGTTGCCTGACGCCCCTCTCCAACGGCCTTGGCGCTCGCCAGTCAGTAGTAACCTGATTAACCGCAAATGTGTTGTTTGAAGTAGTACCAGAGAATGGATTTAATGCACATTGGAGTTTGGTTCCCATTCCTGTACAAAGATAAGCCAATCAAAATGGTTGCTGATTATTGATTGATTAGGCCACAACCAAATATTCTGAACTCTGAAGGTGCAGTTTGTTTCCTGATCTACTAAAAACTTTCTCTGTAACCATGTTCTTTAGCAGTTCAAAGAACAGAACTGAGTTTTGGAATGATGAGAAGGAGTCCTTAGGTCCATGAAATCCACTGTATAATCAGGTCCGTCATCATTGACCAAATGGACCACATAAAAAGATGATCATCTGACACAACACTTAGAAATCTCATGTCAACCAGTTCTTTTTTCTTTCTGTTACAAGTTTGCATCCAAAAGTGAAACATGAAAAACTCCTTAAAAGGACAGGAATGAAGGAAAATGTTCGGTACCGATTAGCTTGAGTTGAAGATAACTGATTGGTTATCTATCACCTTCCATACTATTGTTACACTATCAGGCATTTTGATCCTATCCCTTTTAGTGGTTTTGCTTGATGGAATAGTAAATGAAACATTAACATGGTTGTATTCTAGATTTTCGATTTTAAAACAACAGTAAACTGCAAGTTGGCAATCCTAATTCTTATGAAGTAAATCAATCATCAAGCTAAGATATTCCACACTGTCATTGTACATGAATTTTGTGTTACAAAACCATCAGATCATTATGAAAGCAAAGCATGAAAGCTGTCTGAAGACCAAATTTGCAGAAGAGGAAGTCAACAGTTGAGATGGACACATATATCATTGAAACTATTTTCAAAATTTCTGAAAACATTCTCAGGCATGGAGACAAAATTTGACATACCTGCAATAAAAGGACGACGGATCCTTGTGTCGGTGAAAGGTTCATTGAATATCTTCCAATCTCATGCCACTGATTTTCAAAACCACAAACTAAAACTTCCTTAAGGAACACTGATCATGGCTCATTTCTTGGAGGTACCCCCAAAAAAAAAGAAAAGAAAAGAAAGGCCAGAGAGAACCCTTTTTATGAGATCACAACAAGTAATGAATTTGAATCACCCATACAACAGTAACAAATGTATCCCAAATGCCAACTCTTTCTTCTTTCTGTTCTTTTTCTTTTCTTAAAGAAGAAAAAAAAGCAAGATATCAGTAATGAAATCTTAATCAAGCTTGTTAATAATCCCACAGATGACAGGCTGTTTGGTGTGATGGCATGTGTTTATGTTGAGAGATTGTGGGAAGAGAAGAAAGAGCTCTGTTGTTGTTGTTGCTGGCATTACATCAACCTTAATTTGTGCTCTCATATGTCTTCTTTCTTTCTCTCTGTGTGTGTGTGTGTTGGATTTTTTTAATGCATGTGTTTTGCTCTAAATGTGTGCTCATAATATATACAAAAGATCAAAAGGGTCCCTTGAAAAAAGAAAAGAATCCATGGATATAGTTCTGTTTTTGTTTGTGTGTTTGTTTTTGGATATACTTACAACAAATGGCACATTTCCACAATGTATGCAAATCATCAAGTTCAAAGAAGGATCTATATTGTGGCCAAGATACTCCATGCAGGCAGCTGGTCTTGCTGGATATGAGGATCTTTTTTGTGGAAGAGAGTAAATTGTGGTTTTTCTTTGGCAGGATCATTTAGCTAGCTATTGATTAGCTTTGTTTGGCTAGGACAATTATTTTTTTTGTTATCAAATCTTATTTTCTTTCTTATTATCACCATCATCATCATCATTATTATTATTATTATGGGTTCTTTTAATTTCCCCCACACATTTCATTTTCTTTTACAATAATATAATATGTAGCTGACAAAAAAAATCTCATGGTTTTTATCGAGGTTATTATATGTACGTACGGTTAGGATATTTATTTTAACATGTTTTTGTTTTGGATCTTATTGGCAATTTGCTATGAGCAATTCCAAGATGGTTGATTTGCTACATAGGCGGTATCATTGGACATTTTCTAACTCGTGGAAATGTAATCAAATTCAAGAATTGGATTAGACAACACACGTAGTACAACAACTTCCAGATCATTAACAAGGATTGACTTAATCCAACTATACCTTACTCTTAATTTATGTATGGTCAAGAATTCGATGTGTAGGAATGAAGTCTAAAATTTTTAGTACTTAAGGAATCTTATATTTCGTGATAAGGATATTTAGGACGTCATGAGTTCAATATTAATTTCCTTTCCTACTTACATGTATAAGTAGTAGGTACCATATTTGTTCATTAAGAATCTAATAAGTTACATGAATCTCAATATATGCAAACCCAGAAAGAGAGGGATGAACTGAAGAGTTGACCATCTTTTTAATTAAGGTTGTGATCTTTCTAGGATCCATCTATTTATTTAGGTTTATATAATGACGCAATTCATTAAGAAAAATTTGAACCCCATAATTATTGGTGTTTATTAATTAACAATTAAATAAATGAGTGATTGATCCAAGAAAATGCATATAATTTTAAAATGAATAACTGGAATCCAATCAAGCAAGTGGAAACAAGACTTGTAGCTCTTGACAATGACATACATGGAGAATCTTTCTTTTCTTTTATATCCTTCTCTGGATAAAAGAAAACATGAGAGAATCATATTTAAATCTTATTTAAAAGAAGAAAATTTTATTAAAAAAAAAGTTGTTCATGCTTGGATTGATTCCCTTCCCCTTGCGATACAATTAAAGAATCATCGAGATTGGAGATGAGCGGATGAGTTGCACAACTTCTCCCGTGTGCATCGTTTTCCTCCAAAAGCTAAAGATACAAATCCAACACTTCAATATCAATTTACTATTCGCTCCGTTCTAACAATATTATTTTGATATAATATTCAGTTTGAGATATAGAGGAAATATTATTATAAATAAAGATAAATTCACAACGGTTGATACTCTACAAAATACAAAAAAATAAAAAATCAAATAGAATTCATATTTTTTTTTCTTTTTTGGAGAAAAAAAAAGAGGGAACATTTGGGATAGCTTGTGAGCAGACATAGTATATCCATCCACGGGGGTCGACAACATTTAGTACGACTAATTATAAAGTATGTAGATTTTGGATTTGTGGAGGATGCATCTTCCGGCCTACTATATAGTATTCTTAAAATGGGACCATAATAAATATAATTCTCAAATACAAAAGATTCATTCTTCCCCCAAAACCACAATTTCATCGATGGTGGGGGATTTGTTTGATGGTGATTTGAACCATGGGTGGGTAGGGACATTGGATTGGATAGGTTGAACACTTGGTTGATTAATTGGTTCTACATATATGGTAGTTGTACCCTAAAATATAATTCAACATCTCGTGCGCATCTTGGTTTTTATATGGTGAAATTGTAGTGATATTGCTGTTTTTTTCGGATATTACTCTCTATGTTTCACAAAATTAGTCTATATTCTAAAATTTTTAATTTGTAATAAAAATAATATAAATTATAATTAACAATATTTATCATTTTTACGAAATGGAGGGGATAATAATTGAAGGCTAATTAATGGAGATGATCAATCAAACTTTCTTCATAAAAGATTACTACACAACAACATATCTTACTATATTAGAAACAAAAACCACACTTAAGAAAAAACACCACCATTTGACATGTGTCATTTCCACATCATATTTTTAAAATCAATTTTTATTTACACATTAGTTTTCTAAACTTAAAAGACAAATGCAGTCCAAATCCACCTCCACCCCCTATTTTCGCCAAAAAAAAATCACGGATTCATAAAAACCCCAAATCCTTATCCCCATCTCCACGACAATCGACTCCCTAATCAATCCCTTCTCCACAAAAAAAAAAAAAAATTCCTCATCAATCATCAACTGAGAATATGTGGTGAAATATACTCCTTTTCTATTAGCATGTTCAATCTTTTCATCAGTTATAATCAACTACATCCTAATGGAATAAAATTTTGGCTTCAAGAAATATTCTCTTTACCTCTCTATATAAACACAAAGGAAAAAAAGAAATTCTCATTGATCTTGCTTCGGCCGTTGTGGTGATGCCATTACAGGTATTAAAATTTAAATGATTTTATTTCCACAGATCATTTATTTGGTTTTTTTTTATATTTTATTTTTCCCGTTCAAGAATAATGTTATTACTATTATTTTTATGCAACCACCCGTTACAGCTACCATAGCCGTTGCCAGGTAATATGATGTGATTTCTTATATGGTTAGTTAGCCTAGAATTTTTGTATGATTTTAGTTTTGTTTGGATTGAATTGATCAATTGGGTTTTTGTTACAAAGTGTGGTTTTTTTAATTTCTTTTTTATGTTTCATTCTATTAGAGCGATTTTCTTTTTTTTATTATTTTATTTGTCATGGTGAGGTGAATTCTTTTTTGCTATAAATTGAAACCTGTGCAAATTTACATTAATTTTCATTCTCATATTTGTGATCAACCTGTTTAAACAATTAACCATTTTCAAAACCATATTTTTGATATTTTACTACCTTTAAACCTTTGGAAGAAACAGTTCCAACAATTAAGCGTAAAGGAACGGAGGAAGCTTACTACAAAGCTATTATAAATCTCCTTTACTAAGTATTGATTTAGCACGACCAATGAAGAACATCAATAAATCATCTTGCTAATATTTAAATTTATTAAGATGCTTTTATATTTTGTCTAACATTTATTTCAAGATATATATTTGATCAAGTTTATTTATATTTAATAAGTAACACTTATAAATCATTTCTAAGATTTTCAAACATTTTTAAAACATAACGGGCCAAATACAATTTCTTTTTTTGCCAAACACAAACATTTCTATGATCACACTTATAAAATATTTCTAAATTCTTCGAACGTTTCTAAAATATATCAAGCTAAATACAAAATATTTTTTTAAATAAAAGTATTTCTAATATCTAGAGATATATTGGGCCAGGATCGCGCATGGCACGACCAGACATCACTAGTTTTAGTATACATTAAGGAAATTTTTTTAACAAGACACATGTTAGTCAATTAGTTCATCTATAATTTTCAATTACACGTATCATCTTCTCATTCGTAAAGAAATGTATATAATCCACATGTCATCTTCTAATTTGTGTATTTTTTACTAGATATTTTATTCAAGTGATATAGTTAATTTAAACACAGTTAAATGGTTATTTTCTAAAAAAAAAATAACTTCCTTCACCAAGTTAGATTTCTTCCGGCAATGACTTCCGATCTCCTCAACAAAGAACACCGGCAGACAACACCTTCAATATGTCACTGAAAATTATTCTGTTGTGATTGATTGTTCCAATTTGGGCAAACTCTTCGGCCATGTTCATGTTTGACTAATTTGTATCTTCTATATTTCGTTTTTTTTTTTTATTGACGGAATCAATCCGGCAACCCGGCATGAATTCGTGATGATGGATGCTAATGATGCTGAAAGATGATGATGGATGGAAAAAGAAGAAAAGTTGCGACAAGGAAGAAGAGAAGAAGGAGAAAAGCAAGCATGCAGCCAATCATAAAAAATGAAGGAAGAAAGGCCGCAGCGACGGCAATTGAGACATACCAATGCGTTTGATTTGATATAGTGAGTTATGGTTTTTTTTTTTCTTTTTGCTACTACCCCATATTAATTAACTTTGACATTTGAAATTCAAATAAAACATTTAAATATAGAAATATACATATAAATGATGCTATTATAACTTTGTGATAATGTCAATTAAATAAACGATATAATCTCATTATTAGAAATTTGAATATTATTTATTTCAGGAATGAATGAGTTTGTTGAAACTCTCGATCTTATCTCTTTTATTAAACTTATGAAATTATTTTGTCGAAGTGGCGGAAGGAGCTCGGGAGACTCAATCATCCGACATTCCAAGCTCTTCTCTCACTGTCAATCACTCCCTTTCTCTTTCCGACATGAAGTCTCGCATCGTAGAGCTGTGCAAAGATTTGTTCAAGAACTGTACCAATTTGGATGAGTCTAGCTTCTCTGTTGACATGCTTTCTGATGGCATTACAAATCTATTGTTGAAAGTGTGAAGAAAATGGGAATGTTGTGAATTTGGTGCCAAGTTACTTGGTATATTTGGTAATGGGATGATCCAATCATTTATCAATGCACGGACTCTAACTCCTTCATCGTTGCAGCTGAAATTGCCAAATAAAGTTACTTCGCTTTTTTCTTTTTTCTTTTTTTTGTTCCCATATATTATGCGTTTTTTTCTTTTGGATGATTATTAGGGACTTTGTTCCTTTTTCTTTGTATTTTTTTGGCAGACCCCAAACCAAACTAAATCAGAGTTTAGGATACTAAACGATCGATAAAAGCATGATTACTCCAAATTGTAAACAAATTATTTTTCAATATTTGCAATTTTATCCTTAAAAATCGTTTCAAATGTGACTTTGACTGAATTTTTAAAGCACAAATCCACATCTTATAAGTTTATATCTATACTCTTAAATTGATCTAAAATTGGCTCTACCAAAATGATCTTATAATTTATTTATCAAATATTGTCAACTCATTTTGAAGGAAAAAAAAAATAAGAATAATAACTCACCGCGTAAAGCGCGGGAATAATACTAGTACTAAGAAATAATCAATCTCCTAGCTAGTGACGTGGATGGAAGGGCGTGCAGCCGTTTCGATTCAACAAAATTATGAATTTCCAATGGGCTCGAATTAATCCCAAAAAATAAAAAATAAATAAAAAATCTCAGTCATTCTATAGTCCTGAATTATTCAGCCGTTCATGATATAATCATTTAGCAGCAATAATTTATAGACGTTTTACTTTAATATGTTTATCGTAGATAATCACTTGCATTATTCAATAGATTTCATCCTTGAATGATACTTTTTTCTTGGGTTTAAATCTATTTGGTTCTGTTGGACCGATTTTGGCAAATCCGGTCCATATGAGTTGGGCCGATCATAGCAACAAGAGAGGAAATAAAATCATAAAGTCCGCAAAGAAATTATGGAACTTCGAAGAAGAAATAACGGGCAACAATTTGAATTGGAGAAGGAGTCGTCAACTTACAGTCCTTATTGGAGAAGAATTTCAACCGCAACAGAAGTCCTTACTGAATTCGACTTTGGTTACATCTCAACTAGGGTTGGCGGAATTGCTATAAAAGCTATAAAGGAGCGGCGACGAAGGGACACACACAATTCATCACACAGAAATCATATTCTCAGTTTCTTTCATAGTTTTTATCGTCTGTTTTCTTCAAGTTTTCATGTATTCTTTTACTTTTCAGTGTTAATTCTTGTAAGTTTTGACGTTTCTGATTATTCACAACCGATTCGTTTTTCATCAATTTAATAAAGGGCCTTGATTGGCCGTTTTATTCATCCTTTCGAAATTATTTATTATTTCGCCATCAAACACTTGAACTTTCAATCTTGTTGCGAGTCGAAGGGATTGACATCTTTAGACAATTTTAACGGTTAGACTTCGGATTTCGAGAATATCACACAATTGTTTGATTTAGTTTGAGTCGAGTCGGTCTTCACTTTCAAATACAATTTTGACTCAAACAAGTTTATGTTTTGCATACAAACATGCATTATACAACGATAAAAAAATAATATTTAAATTGAATAGCATATTATACCCAAAAAAGGAAAAAAAAACGAATAGGACATTAGCGTGGGAATTCAAACGTTAGATTGTTAGCGATAATCCCTTTTACCCTATTAAAGCAGAATACAGGATGTTGATGTGGCAACTTCTTATTAAAAATTTTTGACTCCAAATGCACCATATTGCATTAACCATTCTGCCATGTGTCATCCCTTTTAAAAAAAAATTCTTATCCTTAGAAACAAAAGCTACTTTATAAAAATAGCTACATAATTTTAACTCCTAACATTTATCATTTATCGATCAAATTAAAATAGCATTTAAATTTGCCCATAAACTTATCCCCTTTATTACTCCACATTCTTTTGTATGATTTCTGAATCGTTGTACTTTTCAATATTTTTTCTCCTTTGGCAGATGATTTTTTTATTTTTATTTTTATTTTTGGCTAAAAAGGGAAAAAAAACAAATGTGTAGCTATTTTATTTTGTCCAAATCAAGAATTCATTTATCTATTAACACAAAATTAAAGTAGAGGGGCGTACGGACATCTACCCGGGCCAAGCATCTAGTAAACAATTAAATACAGCAACTGGGGAAGTAACAAAGATCAACAAATACAGCAACTAAAAAGAAAAAGGAAAAAAGAGACTGGCTTGGGCTTGGTTTACGACTGTCTTGGCATTAGGCCCATGAGATAGACGCATTACCCCGTTTACTTTTGGTAATTCACTGTATTTCGTAAGCTAATATTTCACATTTAAATCCAAAAAATAACAAAATAAAAAAAAATTATCATAGTATCAATTTTGTTTTCTTTGAAAAAAAGGAGGTGATTCTGAATCCTATCAAACTTCTAGGGTAATGAAAAGAAGAGTATTAGAGATTATATTTTAAATAACAATGAAAAAAAGAAAGGTAAGAGTTTTGACCACGACCACATAATATGCGTTTCAGTCCCTTGATCAAATTTAAATTGGATTATGAACTTTAAATTTTTCTATCTTTATTCGGAAGTTTCTAATAATTTGAAACTTGATTCTTGTTTCAACAAGATATGGCTACGGTTTTCGTTTCTTATTAGTTTCATAGGGGGTCAACTTGAGCTGGACTAAATACCAACAGTAATAAAATAAAAAATAATATAGCAATAGGGGAAAAAATATTTATCAAATACAAATAAGGTAGCATAGATTCTAGTATATAAGTACGTTCTGTCCCACCTAAAAAACCTCCAAGAAACCCTAAACCGAATGGAGAAGGAGGAGAAGAAGAAGAAGAGGAGGAAGCTTCGCCACTGCTCTCATCAAAGCAGTAAGGTTAGTTTAGCTCCACATCTATTATTTTTCTTGTTCTCTTCGATTTTATTTCCGTATAAGTTTAAACATGGTTTAGTTGTGTTTCTTATCGGGACATCCGAAACTTAATCTTTCTTAATTGCCATGATTTATTTATTTATGTATTCAATGAACGCAGTCTGGTTGTTCCATAGACAAATTGCCAGATGATGTTATTTCATCCATTCTGTCCAATGTCACAATTAAGGAAGCCGTTCGGACAAGTGTCCTTTCTCGCAGATGGCGTCACTTATGGCGACGGGCATCTTCCGATTTTATTTTTGATCTCACAAACTCCAAACAAGGAATAGTAAACGATAAAAATGTGATGAGGGCAATGAAGAAGTGCATGAAATCTCAATCGCGTCAAACGTCGTATTTGGATAAGTTCATCATTCGGTTCAACTTCAACAATCCTCGCTATGGTCATAAATGGCCGGATTATAATGTCAACGATGTCCTCATCCGCGATTGGATTCGTTTCGCCATTCAAAAGAAAGTCCGAGTTCTTCAATTGGCCGCCATTTATAAGAATCACCAACCAGATTATGGGTCAAATTTTGATCAACGGTTCCTTGACCTAATTAACGAAAAATTCACAATCCCGCGGGAGATCGCAGTTGAGGCGGCCACTAGCGGCTGCTGTTTCGGTTCGTTAACATCCTTGAAGCTGGATAATTGTAAACTAGAAGATGAGGTGATGGATTATTTCTTATCCAATTCTCCAAGTCTACAAAATTTATCCTTAATTCGTGTTGGAGGCATTAAGAATCTCAACATTGTTCATAATCCGCGTCTCGAGTTTTTGAGCCTACGCGATTGTAAGGATAGGGAGATGGAAAAGATGAAGATATCTGCTGAAAACCTTGCATCTTTCGAGTACTTTTCCTATCGGGGAAATATGTCACACATTTGTTTTGAGAATGCGCCTCGACTCAAAACCCTAATCATGGGGGACACAGCTTATTTGAGGTCTTTCACCTATGAAACTCGCTTGCATCGAGTATACTCGAAACAACTCGAAAACATCGTAATGCATTTGTCTCCAGAAGAGGTTAGATCTTCATGATTAGCTAACTGTTAATTACCATTCACTTTTTTTTTTCCGATACTCCGTTCGTTCCAAATATATTGTCCAGTTTAAATTTTTATTTTTGTAAAAATTGAACTAAATGTGAAAATCTCAAAATGGACAATAATTTTGGATGGGAGGAGTATATATATACTTGAGGAGGCTAATGCCACTGAGCATCCGCTGCCATGCCATCTGACTCTATGACGGAAGTTTAATTTATAATCCAATCACAACTCGATGAAAAATATAATCTGCTAAAAATGTTTCTTTGAAATTAACCATTCACTTTAGCTTCTTTCTTTTTCCTTCTTTTAATAGGACTTTTATTTCACTTTGTACCATAGTAGACGCCCAAATTTTCCCAGTTTAAGAAGTCTCAAACAGCTAGAAATGTTTATCACTACTTCCCCGGGCGCAAGTTTTCTATACTATGTCGCATGCGTTGGGGAGTGTCGTTTCTTGTCCAACTTGTCTGTTCAGGTACGTACTTAAAACTACATTCCTTGTAATTTTTCCGCGTAAATATCATTAATTCATCATATAAAATCATTTCTGTAACCATTTTAATGGTTTTTTTTTTTATTTACTTGTTACAGTTTCTTTACGAGGACTCGCCATTTTGGACAGGGCTACACATGGTGATAATAATTAATTAAAACTGAGCATACCTATATTGATTAATTAACTTACACTAGCTATATATATTGCTGATGTGGTATTTCTTTGATTTTGTTGTTACAGTGCACATATACTTGCAGAACTAGAAAACAAATAAAAAAACTGGAAAAACGAGCTAGTCAACTAAGTCTTAACCATTTAAAAGTGGTGAGACTGACGGATTTCAATGGAGATAGAGAGCAAGTTGAATTTGCAGAGAAATTGGTTCAAATGTGCAAATCACTGGAGAAATTAATCATCAAACCCAAAAGAGCAGATAACAGTGTTACTGGTACTGATCATGGTGATGAACAAAATGCGAGAATAATAGTATTAAATGATGCTACGAAGCAAATGATCGCAGCTAATCTAGGAGCAAATGTCGGATTGGTGATAGAATAGAATAAATATGGCTTTTATTTTGGAATGTAGTGAATAATCTATTTATTCAAAACTGATATTGATTTAAAGGAGGAAGTTGAATATTGTTTTGTTTGTTTGTTCGTTTGTTTTTTCTGCAGTATTATTATTATTATTATTATTTTGCCTAAGCGTATTTATAGTATTGTTCTCTACCTAGTTTTGTTCATTTTATTAGTACTTGTCACTTATGGTTAATTATAAATTGAAGTTAACTTGCGTTGGAGGATTGGGTGGGGCGATTAGGATGGGGATCGAGGGTCCGATTCTCATCAGGCCATCCATTTTTTTAAAAAATAAAATAAAATAATTGAAGTTAACTTATTCAAACTTCAAAGTCTCGTTGATTCTCAAAATTAGTACATCTTTAAACGATTTTTTACTGTCGGAATGGGAGTAATAAGGATATCCGATTTCTAAAGTCATTAGGTATGACGCCTAGTTTTGAGAGTTATGTAGTAGCAAGGTAGATATTGTGCAGTAAAACCACAGTTTTGAGAGGAAATACAAATTTACAATTTCACAATTAAGGAAGCAGCTCGGACTAGTGTCCTTTCTCTTAAATGGCGTTACTTATTGCGACGAGCATCTCCCGATTTTAATTTTAATCTCACAAACTCCGAAAAAGGAGCTGTAAACAATGAAACTGTGATGAGAGCAATGAAGAAGTGCATGAAATTGGAATCCCGTCAAACGAATTCGAATGTGGATAAGTTCATAATTCACACCAACTTCAACTACTCTCACTATGATGGTGGTCGGCCAGATTATAACGTCGACGATGCCCTCATCTGCGATCAGATTCATTTCGCCATTGAAAAGAGAGTCCGAGTTCTTGAATTGATCGCCATTCGTAAAAAACACCGACGAGATCCTCTTGATAGATTTGTTCGTTATCTTGGCAACATATTATTAACAATCCCGCGGGGGATCATAAATGAGGATAGTGGAAGCTGCTGTTTTGGTTCGTTAACATCCTTGAAGCTGGAAAATTATGAACCGAAAGATGAGGTGATGGACTATTTGTTGTCCAATTCTCCAAGTCTACGAAACTTATCCTTGATTGGTGTGGGGGAATGAAGAATCTCAACATTGTTCATAATTCGCGTCTCGAGTCTTTGAGCCTCCGCAATTGTGAGGATTCGTCTATGAAAAAAGATGAAGATATGTGCCGAAAGACTTGCATCTTTCGAGTACTTGTCGAATCGTGAAGATTTGTCACACATTAGCTTTGAAAATGTGCCTCGACTCACAAATCTAATAATAATGGGCTCAGCTTATTTGAAGTCTTTCACCTATGAAAAGCCATTGCATCGAGTATACTCCAACCAACTCGAAAAGATCGTAATGCATTTGTCCTCAGTCCAGGTTAGTAATTAAATCTCTTTTTCCAGGGCCTTTCATTTGACTATACCCTTTTTTTTTTTTTTTTTTTTTTTTTTTTGGTTAGATCTTCACAACCCATTAATTCTCTCATTTCATCAACAGTTTCTTTTTGATTTCGTCCAAATACTTTTGAACCGTTTATGTAGATTTGATCGGTACCAACTCATATTTTATATCTCAACTTCTCTTGTGATCTGACCCTTCTTACATCATTAGGACCACGAATTATGTTTAACAGAAGTATTCTCCAAACTTCTTTTTCTGTCTTCGCATGCATAAATTTGTTACATAGATGCAGGTGCACCTTGGTATCTATAAATAAAATTAAGCTCCTTGATCATGACTTTGACTGCCAATGACGTCTTAGTTCAGTTGATTATTTTTATGCACAAACTTGTTAATTACTTTTTTTCTTTTTTTTTTTTTTTTTTTTTGGTTCTTAGGACCGTAATTTTACTATCTACTGGAGTAGACGTCCAGACTTCCTCTGTTTGGAAAGGCTCAAACAGCTAGAAATGTTTATCAAAACTGTACGGCATTCGAGTCTCCTACACTATGTAGTATGTGTTGGGTAATGCCCTTTCTTGACTACCTTGTCCGTCCAGGTATTTGAACCGTTTCTCTTGTAATTTTTATTCGTGCAAATATCAATACTTATATAATTTATACTCTCCCTCCGTCCTATAATTATTCTCATAGTTTGGAATTTTATTTTTAGTTCAAATGATACTAGAAGTGTAAATTCAAACTGGACAATAATTTAGAGACAAGATGAGTATAAAATAGCCGTAATTCATTTCTCTAACTATTGTTATTGTTTTTATTACGCGTTACAGTTTGTTTAGGAGAAGGACTCGGGAGGTTTCAGGGTATTAATCAGCACATATATATATAAATTATAACTTACACTAGCTAGATATTATTTGATTTGGTATATATTCCTTTTCTTTTGTTGTTCCAGTGCGTACATGATCCTTACATAATGGAAAAACAAAGAACGAAACTGGAAAAGCGAGCTAGTGAGCTTCGTCTTAAGCATTTAAAAGTGGTGAGACTGACGGATTACAATGGAGGCAGAAAAAAATCTGAGTTGGCAGAGAAATTACTTCAAATGTGCGAATCATTGGAGAAACCAATCATCAAACTCAAACCCAAAAGGACAGATAATAGTACTAATGATGGTGATGAGCAAAATGCGAGAATAATATTAAATGACGCTACGAAGCAAATGATCGAAGCTAATCTAGCAGCAAATGTTGAGTTGGTGATAGAATAGTACATTCGATCGGTAGTTTTAAAGTAACAATCATGTTTTGTTGAACCAATAAGTTGTTTTTTTTTTTTTTTTTTTAAATTTTGGAGTGAGGGGAGTACTTTAATTACTCGAAATTGTTTTTGTTTTGAAGGAGGAAGTTGAATATTGCTTGCTTTGTTTTTATGTTTTTTTTTTTCTATTAATGATTATACGTGGCGTAAGATGTACAGCATTATTCTCTCTAGTTTTGTTTCTTTTATTAAGATTAGTACTACTTGTCAATTGTGGTTAATAAAGTGAAGTAAACCCATTCAAACGTTAAACATATGTTCTCATTCTCGAAATTAGTACCTCTTCAAAAGTCATTCCCAGACTCTTATTTCAGTTTGTTATCAATTATTACTTTGTAACAGAAGTTTGTTAGAAAGCAAACCTTTTTTCTTCCCTTTTATTTTGGTCATACAGCAGTACTTCTAGTCTCACCTGCGACTATCAAGTTTTGAACTCTCAATATATATACGATCGATGTTAGAGTACGGATGACAACAAATCTAATGAGCAATAATTTCGATATCTCTAAATTGACAATTTATACCGTGAACTGGGTTCATATCAACAGTACACTGATTTTGGAGTTTACAGTATATCAACATTGATTTTTCATCGTTTATTCCAACTGATTAAGAGAATTGCTCGTTCGGCAGTGCATAGAATTATACAAGTAAAAAATTGGGTAATATACGCGTGACAGGGCTTGCAATGTTGCCAAGAATAATTTAATCTATAAGGAAACAAAAAATGGCTATATATGCCTACTTGAAAGAAAAAGATCTGTCCAAATCGGAAGTAAATTTATAGTAAAACATTATTATTGTAATCGTACGTATTACAGATCACGTACATAAATGTATGAATAACTTTGTGAAATGAGAGAATTCTTTCGCTACTAGTACAACTTGAGTTTTTCCAAGAGAACGGTAGATCGTTGCGCTGCCATTTATTCCATGTAATTCATGGGAGCATATTTAGCCGGATCATGACGAAGCAACGGCGCAGCCGGTTCAGCAGAGGTGTCCGGCGATGGGCCATTTCCCATCACCAGTGTAATTCTTTTTTTACCATTCACGACAGACCGGTGCCAGACGCTCTTGTACTTGCCATTGCTCACAATCTTTTCAAAATTACAAAGAGTTAATATTATGTAACAACCTTCCATCCAAAAATAACAGGATACTTTGAATTTTTATTTCAAGTATAATTTGCACTAATTTTTTTTTTTAACGAAATTCAAACTGGACAGTCAGTTCGGGAGAGACAGAGTAATATTAATTGCAGGCTCCAACCAATAAATATACATCATGGAATCAAAAATTGATTCTATATATACCTCGATGTGGTCTGCAGTGTTGACGAAAATGGTGCCCGGAATCATATCAACGGGGAACCATTTTCCTTCATGCTGAATTTCTAGACCATCGACTCCATTCTGTAGAAGAAAGGTCATTAGGCCAGGGTCCGTGTGAGGCGGTAGGCCGATTTCGGATTCCGGGTCCGGGCATGGCGGGTAATAATTTACAGCGAAGATTTGAGTTGTTGAATCTATGTCCATGGACTTCTCAATGTAATTTTCTTCCAGCCCTAAGCTTTGTGATATTCCTTTGAGTAATTTCCTTGCCAAATCTCGGTTCTTTGAGCGTACTCCCACACAAGATCACTGACAGATAAGGAAAAAAAAAAGAAAAAAAAAAAAGAAAAGAAAAGGAAAGACTAATTGTCAACTTGTTCCTAAATGGGTTGTTGCTTGCTAGACATAACTAATAAAATTAATTAGTTAATGCTACAATATTTTATGGATGTCTTTGTTCCCCTTACACATTGTAAATCTATAGTATATTAATTATTCTCTATGTTTCGAATAAACAGTCTACTTTGAATAACAAATTATTTTTATAGGGTAGATGATTATTGTATGTACATCAACTAATTTGGACATAAATGATTATGATTAGACAAATGAAGAAGAAAAAAGACATTTATAACAACATTGAGTACTGGATAAACATTTTCGTCACTTTTGATTGTACTCCCTTCATTTTAAAGAAATATTATAATCCCTGTCCTTAATATATAAGACATTTTGATTTATCTTATGTTTCACCTAATACGCATTTTTAATTGACGAAAAAATCTTAACAATATATATTTACATTCGTCGTATTCTCTTGAATGTTACAAAATATATTTAAGGTTTGTTCGTCAATTAAAATTGCGTACTAGGTTAAATCTAGGATAAATCAAAATATTTTATATCAAGGACCAGATGGAATATTTTATTAATACAATTTAAGTAGACTGTTTTTCTACAATGATATTACTTACTTGAGTTGCTTGGGTTTATCAGGACAAGAGAACTCGGGATGCACATAACACCTCATATAATCCCTCCACAAGCCTTTTCCGTTTGCAGGATTAGATCCCGCGAAGCCGGATCCGACCATCATCGGGAACCTCATATTATTCTTGATCTTATCAAACTGATGTTTTTCCTCTTCGGACAGATTGAAGAACTCATTGCACGCATCAAACAACTGATTGGTCAACATTTCGGGAATCTCATGGTTTACAACCTACACGTGCGAATCAAACAAGCCAGTGTATAAAACTTCAGATATTGTAATTACTCATCCGTCACAAAATGAAGAGTCATATGTGTTTGGGGATTTATCTAGAGGAAAACCCAACATGGAGCCCAATAAGTAAGATAAGACCCATCTGAACTCAAAAGCTCAAACTAATGGGTTCTGATACCACCTGACTTATTAACTGATTCACATGTCCTCATGCCTACGATGTGGGATTCATAATCCTTGTCACATGACTCTCAACAATATGTTCTAATTATATCGACTTATATATTTTGATGCTGCATATCTAGAGTTTAACAAAAAAGACTGCTAATTTAGTGTTTTTTTTTAAAAAAAATTGTTTTATCCTAGTAACGTACCATGAAGGAGCCCCATTCCTCGCAGGCCTTGCCGAGGTCATGAATGGCTTTTGCACGATCGTCTGGATTGGTTGAGGAGAGAAGGGAAACATCAATGACCGGAATAATATTGTTGACTTCAAGGTTTGTTTCAATGGATTTTTCTTGATCCTTGAGATGAGCGAAGTCAGAAGGGCGGGACTTAAGATTTGGGGATTGAGCAAGTGCTTTGACGGTGGCCATTTGTTCTTGTAAACTAAGTGAATGTGACAATTGAGTACTTTTGAAAAATGGAGATTAACACCAAAACTAATGAACTGTTTGGTTTATGGGGAGGGCGAGAAGCAATTTATAGAGGCAATGTGTATTATTTTAAAAGACAAGTAGAAATAAAAATAAACACGCATTCAGCACTACAATTAGTTAATCGCGTGATAAATTTATTTATTTATAAGATCAAACCAAGCCTGCTACATCTTACAAACGAAGCTGACTTTTTTTTTTTTTTTTGAAAAATGACGAAACTGACATACCCACAATGTCGGGAATAATATGTTTTTTTCTTTAAAAAAGAAAAAGAAAAAGAATTGTGTCATTTCCCAAATTTTTTACAAAACACCTAAATTATTATATAGAACTATATGATATGAGAAGGGATGATTGTCTAGGGGAGACTGCTCAATTTTGATGGGGTTGGCTACTTATTTGACCAATGATATACCATCTCTACTTATCCGATTGAAAATATCATTGATGGAATCAAACTTGTATCATTGAGTTATAGGGTCATGAGCTTTACCATTGCGTCAAGAGTCAAGATCACCCCCTTCCCTTAGACGGCAGTAATCCAGAACACAATTATTTATAGTGTGGATGTGGTTTATTTTCTTCAATTCAATTGGTGCCATTTCCAAGAATTTTATTTATTGCCTAAGACAAGTGTTTGCTTTCACACTAAAGATGTAGCCAATCTTTTATTGCTATTGCGGGGGTGCCTGCATCATTTTAGTTCATGAACCGTAATACAACAACTCAAAAAAAGGAATAAGGAAAAAAAAAAGAAAAAAAAAACAACAAAAAAAACAAAAAGTATTCATTCAAAATATGAACTGATTCTCAATTCTCAAAAAGTAAAGAAAACAAGTATGGGATGCCATGTATGCCCATTTAAATACTGCATTAGAACCCAAAACTGGACGATCTAGGTCTATGGATTTTACTATTTTCTTGCCACGACTTTCATAATCCATTTCCATGAAAGTCTATGTTCCGGCGTATTGTTTTATTTGCAGTATTACTTAGATGCCATTTCCTCTATTAATTGTAGCTCTAGAACGAAAATGTAATGCAAAACCATAATGCCAAAACAAAAATTAACACAACTTTTGGCACAGTTGGACAATAATACTCTTAATGAAAGCACGTGGATTCATGTTCATGGAGGGGCATTATTGTCCGAAATTGCCAAAAATTGTTTTGTCTCCTAATTTTTATTTTGGCATTGCAGATTCCCAAATGTAATTGAGACTACTAGTGGGTGACATGTACGTTGTACATGTTATTAAAATTTTCCAACAAAATTAGTGTGAAGAGTAATTTGTCGGAAAATATAATAATTATGTTAAGACAGTACGTTTCAATATATTTTGATTATTGTAAACATATTAATAAGAATTTAGTTAACTCATCCAAAAAGTAAAGCATAAATAAATGACAACGATATATCAAAAGAATGAAGCTATACTATAGATTTTGTTTCCATGTAGAAGTCTATAAAATTTTGAAAAGATAATAATTAAGTTTGACAATAGTAAATATGAAAAATTATACTTTTTGAGTGTTTCTTTGTAAACTACACTAGATGTTAAACCCGCATGATTTACATGGTAGATTACATTGCTAATAAAAAAATAAGAATATATGTCGTGTGTGTAAAAATCTTGTAAAATATTAATTGTTAAAATTTTGAATAAAGGAAAATGTGTAAAACAAAATAAAGTAAGTCCCATGAATCTGTGATACATGATTTTATTTGGAAATGTATTGACATTTTCAATTTGTTAACAATAGAAAAAAATAGTAGAGAGAGTTTAGATCGAAAAAGTTTATTATACAATTTTCCCACCAGTAGGCATGAAATGATAACTGTAAAGTTATAAATGACTGCATTTATAGTAATTGATTATGGGTATATTCAATATTTTATTTAATTTGATTAATAATTTAAGGGTTAAAATAATTTGGTATTGATCCTGAGTAATCCCTATTTTGGCTCCTAATTATGTTGTACATTCAATACCAGAAAGTTTGAAATTCAAAAAGAAAAATATCTCGTATTTAATATCAAAATTGTGAATAAATATTCATAAATGTCTACCCTAATTTATAGTTTACTTAAGCATGAAATTCGAGGACTTGAACACAATTTCAATAACATTTTTTTCCTAAGGTATTCTACAAAAATGACACCTAGAATTTTTGCTGACGTGGCGTTATAAGAATTACTCTTGTTTTCCCTCTCTGATTTCTCTATTAATATAATACTATAGATTTGTCATGAGGTACCCTAATTCTCCATTCTTGTTACAAATGAGAAACCTTTAGCCCTTTGTTAGATTTCTTTCTAGAAAGGCAACATACAACAGTCAATGAGTCTAAATAAACAGATTCGTAATAAATCGGCAATTTAATAGGATACGATATACCTTGTTTTCATGAAAGAGGTACAATAACGTCCACCCGCATTCTGTGTGCGCAACTAGTTTTACATTACAATGACCTCTGGATTTTTATCTAAAAAAAGACATTTTTTTTTATAGAAAAAACATACCTTCACTAATTTGTTAGAAATCGTCCAACTGCGTTTGACATTACAAAGAAACACTCTAAAACACAACTCACAATTTCTATTAAATATTCTATTACAATCACACTGTTGTGTTGAATAATTTATACAGATCTATCCTAGTCAACGCTGGATATATCACGTATCGGATTTTAGATCTAGTTAAGAATATATCACCAGTTATCATATGAAAGTCCCAATTTATAAATCTAATGAATAGATTTATATTGACTGAATCTTCTCGAACAATGCACAATAAACCCGCGAACATCACCAATGAGGTCACGAACCCTGCCATCAACAAACAAACCCTATCTTCAATCAGTAGATTGCGACCAATCCACTGGAGGAACTATAACAAAAAGAACCATACCCTCTCAATAGACTATAATCTATTGAAAGAACAAAATTTAATGAAAAAATGGGAAATAATCTCGTATATTAAACGATAAAACTAAAACCGTGCTTATAAAACTAGAATAAAATTATTTCCCCCATCCTCCCATGGTGAGAAGATGTGGGAAAATTGGTTTTCTCGGAGATGGGTTGAGAGGGGAGAGAGAGCAGGCAGCTAGGGTTTTATCTGAAAAGGACATTTGATCAACTCTAGAAAAAGGACATTTGAACTGCTATTCATTAAACAATACATGCTCAAATTCGGAATTCAAATCATCACAAAAAAAGAGAATGCCTGAACCTCACTGAATCTACCAGCACTGCAAATTTGTTCGAAAAGCTCTGCTCCAGCTGCATATTCCATGACAATGGCAAGATGAGTAGGCGTAAGGAACACCTGTAGGAAGTTGTGAGAGGATAGAAACAACAGGCTTATTTATGACTCTATATAACCACCTTCTTGTTTTTTCATCTTTTCCTCATCTATGTGAGGAGTGCTTCCATTCATCACACAGTCAAGGTCGATATCCTTGTCCCTAGGATCAATCCTTGTGTCAGCAAATATATATTTAAATCATCAAAATAAGATACAAACACAAAAACCGTAATCTTCCAAATAGATAAACACTACAAGAAAAAGTATTTCTTAACATTTAAAGTGTAGTAATATAAGCCCTATAAAGACATTAAACCTATCACCACGGTCTTTCTAAATGTGGTCTATGTAGGTGTGTTAATAGACTTCACCTTTTAGAAAACATTATTATGTGTCATAAGAGAGTGGCTGAAAGTCACGTAAATTAGAAGTTAGATATATCATGACAACATGACATGTCTTCAAAAGTTTTCCTTTCTTAAAAAAAAAAATAATAATTTTAATTTAATTTATTAATAAACAATATACAAATATAATATCAAATAAAAAATGGTATCCCATCATTACAAATTGAAATTTCCTTGCCATTTAATACATTATATTCGACTACAACTTGAAGCAACTACTACTAACTACACTATGTACTCAACAAGCCGTCTCTCATCTATTGTGAGATGCTTCGAGTCCTAATAAAGCTTCGGAGCTTCCCATCTTGCTACTATAGAATTTCAAAATAAACAACAAATCTGTGAATTTAACAAATAGCATTAACATAATCAAATGCTTATTCTATTAAAACAGTCCATTTCCAAAATAGGCACCAGAAAATGAAATCTTATAAAAAAATCTTCATAGCATTTCCAATTAAAAATCTTTCATCATCTCAGTTACAGGTTCCTTGTTTTGTGTTAATAACATGATGCAATGAAGACAGTTTGAATCTAATTCATATGGAGAAGAAGACACAAGTCAATGGAAACTGCTGGAAATCAGGCTGCTGAAAGGTCGATCAGAGTTGGAACAAGTGGAGAAATCCTTGTTGAGGAAGGAAGAACGGCAACATATGATCACAACTTAGAAGAATCTGCAGTAGCATACTCAATTGAGAAGAAGAAGGGAAGCTATTCTGCTGCCAAGTTGCTACTGTAGTAGCTGTTGCTGCTGTCAATCAAAGAGGAATCCACGAGCTGAAATCTTAGTGCCCATGGAAGAAAATTGCTTTGCCATCACTACAAGTTGTTACTGCTGCAAGTGGAAGAAGAGAAAGAGGAAGAATATGTGAAGAACAGCAACTGCAACTCTGCTACTTACCAACTGATGCTACTGCTGAGTTGATGATTGGATGCTGCAGAAGGGTGAGCAATGGTATAGCAAGTGACCCAGGAAACAAGGAAGAAAAGGGCAGAAGATTGATGCTGAATTGGGGGATGGAAACACAATGATCGAAGGAAGCATGCTGCTGATGTTGATGCTTGCTGACTGCTACAAATTGAACTGTGAGGATTAAAGAATGAAGAAATGGAGACTTGTGACTGCAAATTGTGAGACTACATCAGAGAAGAAGACTAAGGAGAAGCAGCAATGATGAGTAGATGGTGGCTGATTGCGGCTAAAGAAGGAAGGAGCTAACCAGAGAAGACAACCTCAATTTGTCAAGTTGCTGAATAAAAAATTGCCTTTGGCTACTGCAACTTGCTGTCTCCTCTGATTTGTTGTAAGGAAGGCCAGAAATCCACCAATCCAAGCCTCTCCAAATCTCTATAAATAATCAGCCAATAGCAGTAGTTAAAAAAAGGACAGATTGGGTAGTTAGAATCAGTTACAAAGATAGTAGTTAGGTAGTTAGTTAGTTGGTGAGAAACAAGGTAGTAGTAGGAATAGGAGTGCAAACTGTCATTCTGTCAAGTGGCGAATGCCACTCGCCTAAGTGAGCAGTCAATGACTACCCTGCTACTATCTTTCCCTTCTATCCTCTAACTTTTTGATCTTGAATTATGTCTTATCTTTTGCACTCTGTTGCTCTCATGTTTAACTCCATAAACATGAGTAGCTAACTCAGTTGAGGGTTCAATCCCTACTATCTTCATGTGAAGGTTTTGATTCAGTTTTCCTTGATGAGACATTGTTTCTAGTTTAAGTGCTTAAAATTAATATTTTGATTAAACTGTCACTTAATTAAATGTGCATGTATGTTATGGAGATCTGAGAGGGCAAACATAACTAGAACGTCTTAAATTAGTCTATAACAAGGGAGGAAATCTGCCCTTTGGTTTCAATCATCAACGAGAGTTAGGTGATTGCCGTAGGTGATCAATAGGGCTTAAGAACTCAATGGTCTAGATTAATCTTAATAATCTGACTGAGAGGTAGATCATTTAGTAATCTAGGACTCTTTAATCTGTCTGAGAGGGATTGTGAAGAATAAATGTGACCTATCAAATAATAAATCATACACTACAGGATTATTTAAATCAAAACTGGATCATAAGGATAGGAAGGTAATTGACCCTTCTGCCTCTTCACTCTGTCAATTAACTATTCTCACTCTCCCAAGTGACAAATCTATTCATCTCTTTCACCTTCTTTTCCTTGCACTTTAATCAGATTTTGAGTGGTCGACTGTCGTCTCTGTGGAACGACCCTGCTTACCACTAGCTAATAGTTTTAAGTAGGTTTTATAAATATTCTATTTGGAGTTGAAATCAACGACAACACATTAAAAAAAAAAACCCACCACATTTCTTCAATTAAGAGGCCTCAACAACGAATGATTAAACGTGTTTTGGTGGAGACAAAAATCCATGAACAAATAAAATAACATTTATAACCTTTTTATTTTTTATTTCAAAATATATCAAAAACAAAAAAAAAAAAAGAATTTTGATCGGAGAGAGCGTCCGGAGATTGCGCCTCACCGGTGGAAGGAGCGTCCGGTCCAAACGCCTAAACGTACGGTGAAGCATCGTGATTAGACGCCTCTACCGCCGTTGTAGCGTAACTTTCAAACGCTTTTTAGTCGGCATTGGTGTCTGAAGTTCTGGCCGGATGAAGCGTCTGGCAATGGCATCGTACCAGATGTTAAGGCGTCCAATTCAGACGCCTCTTTCGACGGTGAAGCATCTCGGGTGGACGTCGTGGCCACCGGTACGACGCGATCTCCGGGCGCCCTACTCGGCCTGAACCTTTTTGATGTATCATACAACCACTTATCACTAAAACGAGTTTTTTTTGGGGTGGGGGGTGGGGAGGGTGATTTTGGCTCCGGTTTGTTGTTTTGGTTTGTATTTGTGTGATTTTGTGTGATTGAAATAAGTTTTGAGATAAATTTTACGATTGTAATTAAAAAAAAAACGTATTTAGAGACAAAAACTATTTTCGTTAACCACTTTTGAGCACTATCGGACCAGCAACGGTTGATGACTGCTCGGTGATGATTGAGAGGTGCCTGAAGGATGGTCTAAAATAATACTCCCTTCATCTCAAAAATAAAATAAAAATATAAATACCAACTCTATCCAAAAAAATAGTCTATATTGAGTTTTTAAATTTGTACTAAAAATAGTACAAAACTCAAAATTCAATGTGGACTATTTTGTGGGACGAAGGGAATAGTTTACATAGAATTTTGAGATTTGTACTGTATAAATATTAAAACCTAATGTTGGCTGTGTTTTTAGGATGGAATCAGCAATAAATATTTGGACCAAATACATGTTTTGCATCACCGCTATCCAAAAATGTTCTTGGGCCATTTTGAGATCATAAAACCATAAACCCAACGTTTGAATTTACACTCCAAACAGAGCCTTCGTTTCCGTTAAGTGGTAAGTGGACAGAGAGTGCAACATTGTGAAACTAGAGGTATACTTATCGCAAATACAGAAGTAAAGAGGTCCATTTATTAATTTGAGAAACATTAAGGATTAAATTTTAGAAATAAGAATACTTTCAGAAATGCCTTTTCTTCTCTCTTTCTCTTTCCCAGAGGCCTCCGCTAGGGTTTCTCCAATTTCTCAATCAGAGAAACTCTGGAACCTTAATAAACACAAAGATTAACCTACCCAATCCATTCTCCGCCGCTCCGAACCACCGCGTAAAACCCCCAATTTCAAACCTCAGATCCAATTTCAGCTAAACCCTTCCGACGAACTCAGCCATGAAGAGAAAACCCAGAGCTCCAAAGCCGAAGCCTTTCTTGGCGACTCTGTCGGCTAAATCCGGGCCGACCCTGATTAAGTACTTGGCCTCCTGCAACGCCTCGGTGAGATCCCAAACCCTAAACCTAATTCAAGATTGGTTGTTGCAGTCGGAAGCTCAGGTCGCCGAGGATGACATGATGAAGCTGTGGAAAGGCCTGTTTTATTGCCTCTGGCATGCGGATAAGGCCCCTGCTCAAGGTTCACTCGTTGACCGACTCTCTTCCTTGCTTGTTTCCCTTGACCCTGTTATTTCTTTGCAGTATTTTAGTTTTTTCTTTGTTACTCTGCGGCGTGAGTGGACCGGCATTGACCGTTTGAGATTGGATAAGTTTTACTTGCTTGTTAGGAGGTTTGTGAATTGTTTTTTTGGTTTGATGAGGAAACACAAATGGGATTTGGAGTATATGGGGAGATTTTTTGAGGTGTTAGAGGACAAGGCGCTTTTGGCAAATGATAATTTGCTGGGAAATGGGGTGAATTATCAGGTCGTTTCAGTTTTTCTTGATGAGTTAAAGGGTTTTAAGGTCCCATTGAATAGGAAAGAAGTGGTGGAGTGTTTGTTCAGGCCGTTCTTTAGGGTGATGGAGAAATCTTTGGATAAGATATTGGTTGGTAAAGTGAAGAGTTTTGTGTTTGATTCTTTGTTGGATAAAGGAAAGACTTTGTTGAAGCAGAGGAAGAATGGAGATGATGGTCAAGAAGGTGGGGATGGGGATTTGTTGCTGGGAATTATTGCTTTAAAGATGGAGTTTTCAGGGAGGTTCTATGAGCTGGGCTCATCCCCTGATATTGTTCAGGGAAATAGGAAGGTAGTTCTTGGTTTGCATGAAGATTTTTTGAAGCTTGAGAGGCAGTTAGAAGCATCAGGGGTTGATATTGAGATACCTGATGTTAGTGAGATTGATGAGATTGATGGGGAAGAGGTGCCTCAGTTGATTCCTTTACATACTGATGGTAAGAACGAAGTTGATATGGTGCACGATGCTGAGGCTGTGAATCAAGAGAAGGGAAATGTGAAGAAGAAGAAGAAGGGTAAGAAAGCAGGGGTTGAACAAGGTAAGAAGAGGAAAAAGAATAAGAATGGAGTAATTGAAAATGGTAATGTAGGTGGGTCGGCGAACTTTACTTTAGGTAGTGATACTTATTTGGAGAATGGGAATGCAGTCTCCTCAAATGGTCATGAGACGAGCAATGGTGTAAAAGATGATGAAAATATGTTGGATCTCAGTGAGTCAGTTATGTCAAATCTTCAGGCTGAATTTGAGAAGGTAGCTGCAGCTGGTTCTGGTGAGGCAAGTGATGACTTGCCTTTGCTTAAAATGAAAAAGAAGAGAAAGAGGGCCAATAAGCCGAAAGATTTGGAGGTTAGCACACGGGATGAGGATGGACAAGATACTGGTGCACAGAACTCATCAAAAAGTGCAAAGAAAGTCAGGTTTGCTATGAAGAATAACTTGGTCTGGAAACCGCATAGTCCATTGCCACCCCAAGATCTGCGGATACCTCCGTCTGTTACTCCTAGGGGTAGTGCTCTGAAAAAAGGAGTTCCTCCTGGTCCCATCAGAGAAATGCCTCCTGCAACCAAGAAAATGAAGAAGAAGAAGGGAAGAAAGATATTGAAGACGATTTCACCTGCTGTGAAACGGTTGAGAAGGGTTAAACCTTTGCTTTGATATTTCAAATGTTCGACATTTGACTAAAAGCTGGTATTGAGCTATCATCTATGTTTTGCAAGAATATTGCAAACAGTGTGATTGTCTTTCGTTTAGTTTTTGTTCCCATACAACAGTTGATATGAATCCAACTTTTTCCCCCTTGAATTCAATCCCTCAGACAGAGCTCAAACCTGTCAAAGATTTAAGGGGAGAACTCTGCAATCTATTCATTTGTGGCATGATTTTTTATGGGAAATTTCAGGTGCCTTGGATTAATGACCATTTGTACGTAGTTTATGTGTTTTGCTTGCTTAAACTTGCTAATGAAGCGTGTCTCTACCGAGTAGAAACACAAATCACAGAAACTCATTTTACTTTACTTACGCTTGCTTGCCATTCTTGTAGAAGATACGGAGCACGGCGTAAAGTATTCTTCAGTTATCCTCATTGTTTATTAAATAATCGCTATCACTTGCATTCTGACTCCGCCTCCGTCACTGACAGTCTTCAGTTATCAGCAAGTTTGTACTCTTCGGCCTCTTGATGTTAGCCACTAGCCATAACAGTAATCAATGCCACTGACTAATTAACAGCTCCGATCGGATTGAAGTTGTGAACCCAGGTTGTATTCTCTAGTAACAAAATTAAATGGATACCGGATGATCAACGGATTATCAGTTGCCATGTTTTTCTGAATCCATATAACTGTCCAAGTCCAAGCTAGGATAATAAGAAAAGAATCGCTTTTCAAATAGATCTGTCTCCATTTCCAAACTATAATGTGAACTTTTTTTCAGGAAAGAATGAGTACTTATATTGAAGAGTGGGGCAGTCGGAGGAGACTGGGAAGAAGAATTGGGAACAGTTTGATTTAGAGAAGCAGTAAACCCCTTCTGGTAAGCTTGAGTTTTTTCCACCGAAAGAAGGTGATGGGTTAAAGATTGCGAAAATCAGAGATGAGGATGTGAAGACTGAGGCTGAGTACTGGGCTTCCTCCGTGGTGTGTTTTGTGTTTGGCTCTAACCAACCTTTCTGGGTCATGAATGATTTCGTCAGGAGGCGTTGGGGTCGATTTGGTATCGACAAGGTAATACTTTTACCCAGTGACTTATGTTGTTCGATTTTTTACAGTGCATGCTAGGTAGGAGGTTTTGAAAATTAACATTCATCAGTTTGGTTCTAGACCATTGATAGTTAAGCCCTGGACTGTTGATATGGGGGTCAAGTATATGGAGGTTGATAAAGTCCCTGTATGGGTTCAACTACATGGTTTGGAGTTGATGTATTGGAATTTATCCTCTCTAGGAAGAATTGCTAGTACTCTTGGTACCCTGTTGATTGCTGATGAATGTACAGTCAATAAGTCTAGAGTTCAGTTTGCTAGATTATTGATTGAGATGGAAATTAGTGAAGTGGTTCCTGATAAGATTGTCTATGAAGATGAAACTGGAATGGTTAGAATGCAGAAAGTGAATTATGAATGGTTGCCTCTTAAGTGTTGCAAATGTAAGGATACAGGCATATGACAGACGTGTAAGAACCACCACCACACACCCACACACAAATCACTAACAAAGTTCTAATCTAAATAGTTTGACTGTTGTCTCCTTTTGTTTTCCGTTTGAGTTTAATGCCTAAATTAGTAAATTACAAAGTTCAATGGCTTTGATACATTTTTATTCGAAATAATTAGGAGTTATTTTAGTCATTATTATTTTTCAGTTTTTCGGGTAAGTTAATTACAGTAAAACATCTAATAAATTAATACACTTGGACCATAAAATTTTATTTTAGAAATATTAATTTAATTTCAATCCTACTAATAAAAAAAATACCAAAATTTTAATTTCAAATAATTATTTATTTATGAAATTATGGAGACTTATATTTATACAGGAAATTCTCGAAAATTATTATTTTATAAATTAATCGAGTTTTTTCATTTTTTGAACTGATCTCGAGTTGGAACTGTAAAAGATATATAATAAAAATGCATAGTGACTAATTTACCCATAATTATTAGGAACAGAAGTGTAATTTTTTGGAAAAAAAATTTTTCAGTGACAAATTGATAATAAAATAGGGTACACATTAGTCACTATTTTCTTTTGATTACACATTTTCACTGTACATATGTTTTCCTTAATTTATAGAGGATTAATCCAGGAAAATTTTACAGAGTTGTTTATTAAACTCAAAGTCGCAAACAAAACAAAAATGATGTTCGACGTTGATTCCACTCGCTAAAAAACACTTTGCAGTTGGCTAAACAACAAAGAATGGTGTTTGTCCTCTACAATTGGTCGGCACGAGACGAAAGATTCTTCTGCAAACAACGACGTTATCCTAATATGTATTTATGTCTAAAAAGTCGCTGAAAGCAGAGAAAAAATCAAGTGATCAGAATCTGTAATCAAGTAAGCCTGAAAACTTTCTTCCAGACGAATTCTTATTATGGACGTTCAGAAATGTTTCCACATGACAGGCGGAATTGGGAAGACTAGCTACTCCCAAAATTCTCATATTCAAGTAATTGTTTCAAATCTCTCTTTCTCATCTTCCAATTCATTTTATTAACTTCACATCATAATTCAGTTGAATTAATGAAGATTTGAGTTTTTCTTCCCCCTTTTATGTTTCAAATTGCAGAAGAATAACTCAGACAAGGCGAAATGGATGACCGTGGAATCCGTCCAGCAAATATATCTAACCACAACGCCGAAAAGCTTTGGAATTGCGGATTTGGGTTGTTCTTCAGGCCCTAATACTTTGACCAACATAAGAGATATAATGGATGAAATCGAAGCGATCAGCAGAACAGCGTCGCAACCCGCAGCCCCTGAATTCCGAGTTTATCTTAATGACCTTCATACAAACGACTTTAATGCACTATTCCAGGCCCTGCCCAAATTCTACAGCGACCTGAAAAACCGACAGAGTTCAGGGAGCCCTCCATCTTTGTACCTGGCTGCTTGCCCCGGAACTTTCTACGGGAGGCTTTTCCCTGATGAATACTTGCACTTGATCTATTCCTCAAACAGTTTGCACTGGTTATCCAAAGTCAGATCAGTTACTTACTTCAATGAATTGAAACAATCCGTATATATGGCCCCTGTATTCACGTGTCTTGGATTATAACAGGTTCCTCCAGGAATTTATGACGACAACGGCAAATCAATCAACAAAGGAAGCGTGTATATTACTGAAAAGAGCCCTCCAGAGGTGGCGGAAGCGTACGTGCGTCAATTCCAAGAAGATTTTTCATTGTTCCTGCATTTAAGGTCTAAGGAGCTCGTCAGTGGAGGTGGGATGGTGCTGATTCTTACGGGAAGAAACAACCCAAATCATATTGATGGAGGGAATTCATTCTTCTGGGAAATTCTGTCTCGGTCACTTGCTACTTTAGTCCAAAAGGTCCATTTTCATGAACCAATTTTATTCACTTTTTTTGTACTCTGTGATTTTTTATTTTTTATTTTTGGGTGGTGTTGATTCAAATTGCAAGTTTTATTTTTCTAACTCAGGGAATTGTTGAGGAGGAAAAACTTGATTCGTATGAGGTTCATTTTTATGCTCCATCAAAGGAGGAACTTGAAGATTTGGTAAGGAAAGAGGAGTCGCTAAAACTGGAAAGAATTGAAATGATTGAAACAGAGACAAACACTGGTGGCAATGGATCAGATGGAATCAGCTATGGAAGAAAGGTTGCTATGACGGTGAGAGCCGTCCAAGAGTCAATGATTGCCCACCATTTTGGAGAGGAAATCTTGAATGAGTTGTTCGAGGTGTATGGAAGGTTGATTGATGAGGAAATGGTGAAACAAGGTATCAGAGCTTATAGTACTGCTGCTGTTGTTCTTCGGAAATTATGACACCTGAGAATCAATCATACCAAAAACATCCAAAAGCTCTTATTATTCCTCATAATTAACGACCTCGTATCTCTGGTAGTTTTGATGGAACTCTGGCAATTGTTTTGGGACAGTGAGAGCATGTGTATCGTTATCATTATATTGTGTAACATCACTTTACGCATTGCGTGGGTTGTATTAATTCTGAACATAAAAATAACTTCATTTGTCTCAAAATTATTGTTCAGTTTAGATTTTCACTTTTAGTTCAATTTGTACTAAAACTGAAAATTCAAAGTAAACAATATATAATTTCGGAGTGGAAGGAGTATAATTTTTAATTTGTATATACCTAAATATACATGTTATGGAAGACATTAAAGTCGTCTGTATCGAAAAACATAATCTAAAAACATAATGTTTCAAACCGGAAAGACTTAGAACTTAATTTTCTTAGGATGACGATACCGGAGAACATAATGTATCGAATAGAAGGCTCCACCCCAGCTTGTTGATCCGGCAAAAATATGTTGGGCAATCATTAACATGTTAAAAAAAAATACATTAACCATTTGGTTAGCATAAACCTGGTTATCTTTGTTGATAATTAGCTCAAAATATTGGCATACAAAGTGGACTTATATTTTAACATAGTCCAAAAAAGAAACTAGACTTGTATTATCAAAAGAAGGTAGTATATAACATAAAAATTCTAAGTGATGGAGATGGGTTAAAAAAAAAAAAAATGGTGGCAAGAGACTGTCAAGTGATCGTCACAAAAACAGAAATTCACCCCCACTACAACTAGCAAGTGATAAGTCAGATCAATCCACAGGGGCGGACGAAACAACCTAAGAACCATTTAGAACACTAGAAAACTAAACTAAAAAAAACAAGAACAATGGAGCAATAGCTGATGACTCACACGAGTAGATGTACTACTCAAGTGAGCGGTGATTTGATTGACATATTAAATTGCCGAGAATGTAAGCAAGAAAGACAACAAATTTAGCTAAGTAAGACGGGCTACACTGAATTAAAGAGTCTGGAGATCCTCATCTCTTTCTATGCTACTTTTATAATGATTATGTATTGACGAGGGATAAAGCGCGTTTGATCAGATATTCACATATCCATAAGTCTCTTATAATGTTCTTAAGGACGTTCCTCTAGTTATTAACAAGCTCTCTTCCAAGAAAAATGTTTAAATCCTATTAGGCCATTAAAAGTTAAAAGTTTTATTGATCCCCCATGCCGACTAGGTATCTTCCGATCCTGTTTGAAACATAAGACTGTTAACCGGTCAATTTTAATCATTCCAAACTATGCTTACCCTTTCGGGATTCACACAATATTCAAGCACAGTGATTAGTTGATCAGACTAAACACAAGATTAATTTGAGCATTAAAACTTGAAATGCTTACATCGTCTGAATGCAAATCTAAAGCATTTTCACATAGAAAAAGAGATTCAATCTCAATAAAGGATTTAAATCCTCATAATCGGTATCTTAAATACAAAATCCATGTAGAACCGAGCGTAAAACATGATTACAAAGCAAGGACAATAAAACAGAGATGAAAGGATGCAAGATTACAATTATAGACCACTGAGGTGAGTTAGAGATATCACTTCCTTGAGTGTCTGTCTCTGATGAACTCTGTGAGAGGCTCTGTTTCAAAGCTCTGTCCTTTCTCTCTACTTAGTTAAACGCTGATCTTTTTAAGCTATTTTGTGCTCTCTCCTCCTCCCTTCAAAATGGTATTAACCTTCCCTTCCGTAGAGCAGTAACCTTCGTTGATCACCGTTGCAGTTTATCAAGGGCACTACATCTGTTGCTTAATTTTTCAATACGATTCTTGCTGCGTTTTGTTATCATTTTTCTCAATCTTTGGGACTACAATGGCCATGCAGGCTGGCTCTTCTTTGACCTCTAAAGTTTCCTTATTTTCGTTGAAGTTCTGGCCAAGAAATAGTCCTAAAGTTGCCTCCTGGACTCGAATTTCTACGGGTGTAGTCCTACAAATGTTTCCAAAAAATTGTACTTCAATCCAATCCGAGAAGTTTTGCCTTTCACCAATTTTCCCAAAACGTTCACCATTATTCAACTAAGTTCCTGATCAGAGGAAAGTATAAAAATAACTTAAAAAGTATACAATTCTAGCCTAAATTCTACCATATTACAATGGGAAAGACAATAAAATTACTGTCAATAATCAAGTAGATTTGCCACTCGTCAGTTGACTATATTTTCTTTTAAAAGTTAAAATTGATTTTTTTAAATAATATTTTATTAATTTAATTTTTTTAATTTTAATTTTTCATTAATTTAATATTTATATTATTATTATATTCAATAGATTAAAATATGAAAATGGTCCTTTATATTGGGCTATATGCGCATTTCGGCCCTCTACATTAATATTTATCTAAACCGGTCCTTTATATTTAAGACTATAACTTTTTTGGTCATCGGCGCTATTCGTGCACTTTTACCAAATTTAGAATCAAGTCGACAAGGGTATATTCAAAATAATTTTTTTATTTTTGAAAATATATTATATTGAATAAAATATAAAAACAAATATTAAATTAATTTTTTTTAACTAAAACAAAAAATAATAAAAAAAATTGTACTTTTTGTGCACAACTTTATGTTACTTCTAATTTGATGGGATTGGGATAAAGTATAAATACTACTTTTATGGAAATATCTAACGTAAAGAAATAATTTATTAAAATTTAATATTATATCAAATCTAATTTCTTATTTTGGATTTTTTTTAACTTATGAAATTGCAGGAAAGTAAACTTTCATAATAGATTCTACAAAAAATAAAAAATAAAAAAATTCTTGAGTTTCTTTATTTCTAATTTTTCCTAAGCATGAACCGGAGAAATAACTATTTAATAAACATTATTAAATCAAAATATAATTATGGACGTTTTGCCGTACCGAATAAAGAAACAATGTAAATATTAAACTAATATTAAATTAATAAAGATAATTGAAAAACAAAAATATGAAATATATTTATTAAAAATTCAAAATTTATGTTCTTTTTAAAAATAACAATAAATTCTAAATTACTGAATTTAATTTTTTAACGTAATATTTTAATAAAATAACTCTAATCTTATGCAATTGTAAACAATTTCAGAAATTAGTAGTTTTTAAAAAAGAACATAATTAGGGAGATGACTTTTTTTTTTTTAAAGGAATCTATTATGTAAGACTAAAATCTTAAATGTCAACTGCACATTTTGGTCATCTCATTAACATTTGGGTAAAATGGTGCTTCACATTTGTTTTTTAAATCAATAAAACAATATTTTTAATTTCATATTATTTTTACTTTGACATTATTACTTTATTTGGTACAACAAAGCTCCATGATTACACTCATTTACATCAACAGTCCCTATTAGATAGTTCCCAACAAGAGATTTCTTTTTTCTTTTTAGGAATCTTCTTTGTAAATATACTTCCCTACAAGTAATATTTTTTTACTTTATCCCAAGGCCACCAGATTAATATTAAAAATATTAAGGTTTCTGAAAATTTTATGAATTTAATAATTTTAATTATTAAATTAATTTTATGAATATAATTATTTTAATATTTATAATTATTTTAAATATAAATATTATTTACTCAAAATTTACCCTTTTGACTTGAACCCAAATACGGTCAAACTGTTACAATAGTGTCAATGGACCTAAAAAGTTACAAACAAAAATAGAGAAAACCATATCATCCAATTAAATGTTAATTTAGAGGAACAACATGTGCATTTCGTCTAATATAAATGACCATTTTCATATTTTAGTCTTATGTAAATATAGTAGAGGAACAAAATATGCATTTAATCGAATAACATTTTAGCCAAATGTAGATGTTTGCTTTTCCGAATCTAGTAGAGGAATCTATTGTGTAAGTCTAATAGAGGTGTTGCATAAGTAATTAAAATGAAAATAAGCTGCTTGAGAAAAGAAAAGAAAAATCTAAAATGTAGAGAAGTATTTAAGCAAAATGTTATCGTAGATGACCAAAATGTGTATTTAGATTAATGTAGAGAATCATTTTCAGATTTTAGTCTATTCGCTCTTAAATCTTTTAGAAAATAAATATATTTATTTAAAAACTATCATTGTTGACTTGGTGTCGAATATGTTCAAATTGCTAGAATAGTATCAAAGGACTTAAAAGGCTATAAACTAAAATGTGGAGGACTATTTCAGCCAATGTAAATGATGATGATTAAAATGTAAATTTGACTTAATATAGATGTGACCAATTGCAAAATTTAGTCAATAATTAACAATAATTATTCCTCATTTATTTCCATTCATCAGCTGGGCCATAGAGAAATAATTGCGAGAGACCATAATAGTAGTTAGTATCATATGATACGTATATTCGAAAATACTATATACACAGAAAAAAAAAAAAAGAGAAGATCATTAACAGTAACATATTCCATTCATTCAAAGATGGGGTCTGTTATGCAAAGGATGGTTTAGTGTCACACGGCAGAAAGCTCAGCCCACCAAGAGTAGATCGACTCAACAATACGAGAATACGAGACTAATGAATTGTAATTGTCGGGAGTTCAATTGAACAATGCCTATATCAAACATGAATTGTGAGAAAATCTATATCTATAGTATATTCTAAGAGAAAAATCAGAGAGAGGAAACAATATTTATCCCTTGAGTGTCACATCATTAAAAATCCTAGGTGTAATTTTCTTATAAATTCTCAAAATAAAATTTAGTGTAATTGTGTAAAAATCCTCTAAATTTGGATTATTAAATTATCTTGTCTCTCAAAGATTATTGAAATTCAATAATATCCCGATTTAAGTTTACAAAAAGAATAGGAAGCTGAATATTTTTTAGAGTTGAGTAGCCATAAATTTGTTCTTATTCTTTTTTTTTTTTTCTGTTTGTATAAGCAAATATTGTCTTCTTTTTTCTTTTCAGAACTTTTGAGCTTAACTAAACTATAAAAATTAGG